AAGTTATCTATTTCTTCCTGGATAAGCTTTAGTAATTTGTGTCTTAAATTTATTTAACTTGCTAATTAATTCATGGTTATTCTTAATGTTGCCTCTTCTGATGTCTGTAAAATCCAGAAGGATGTTACATCTCTCATTCCTGATAGATAATTTTTTCTCTTTTTTTCCGATTAATATTGTCTATGGTTTTAGTTTTATTGATTACAAAAACCTATCTAAGCGTTTGTCAGTTTCCTCTAATTGTGTAGTAGGATTTCTTAATTTTTTCACAAATTATTTATTTATATAGAAGATGTTTGCATGTAGAAGTCCAAGGACAACTTGCAGGAATCAGGCTTTCCTTCTATCATGTGTGTCCCAGATATCTAACTCGGGTTTTTAGGTTTGGCAGCAAGCGCCTTTACCTACTGAGCCATCTCACTGCCCCTGTAGTGAGTTTTGGTTTTTTGTTTTTTTTTTTTTTTTTTTTTTTTTTTTTAAAGTGATTTCTGCTATGGTTTTTACAGTTTCTTTTCTTTGGGGTTTCATTTCTCGTATTTTTCTAATTTTTTGGTACAGAAACTGAGCTCATTGATCTAAGTTCTTTTCAGTATAGGCATGGGTGTAATTTTTGTGGTGTTGGAGATGTAATCTGTGGTCTTGATCTGCTGGGCCAAGTGCTCTATCAGTAAGCTACATTTCCAGCCCTTAGAGTTTTGAACACAAGGTTTCGTTATGTAGCCCAGGGTGGCCTCAAACTCACAGTCTTCTTGCCTCCACCTCCCTGGGTGCTGAGTTACAGGGGTATACCATCACAACCATGTGTTTTAATTTTTATTTAGTCCCAAAGACTTTATTAATTTTCTCTCTCTCTCTCTCTCTCTCTCTCTCTCTCTCTCTCTCTCTATATCTGATAAATAGTGTTTTATTGAAATTTATCATGCACTTGGAAGCCAGAGGTTGATGTTGAGTGTCTTTCTCAATCACTTTCCACCTTACTTTTTGAGACAGGGTCTCTCTCTGAACCTGGAACTCTGGTTTGGCTAGGCTGGCTGGCCCATGAGCAGGGGTGTCCAGTATCTACTTGTCTCTGCCTCACTGGAATTACAAGCGCATGCCACTGTGCTCAGCTTTTTTTCTTTTCTGTTTTCCTTTTCTTTAAAGGAGGAATTTAGTAGACCCTCTATTAATTTTTGAAAAAAAATTATGTGAATAAGAGACTGCAGAATGTGTGTCCCTGGATAGGACTCCTATATCAGACCTCTCCCACCCACAGCTCAGGGACCATTGTGGAAGAGGGGAGGAAAGATTGTCAGAGCCAGGGTTGGTCCATGAACATAGGGAGGCAGAGGCTTTCAGGCCACTGGAAGCTTGCACATGTGAACTTGTGGCAGTGGTGGTATTGAGCACAGGACCCATGCCAACTCAATCAGACAAGGGCCCAGAGTGGAGCAAGGGAAATGGGTGGCAGGTTGGCCCTAGTCTGGGAACTATTGGAGACTGATTACTACTGGGTGAAGGAGAATAAGCCTTACCAACAATCCCTAGACAGACTAGACTCCAGTGGATGAATTTGCACTGAAAGATAGATCTGGGCACAAATGCTTGACTGGATAAGACTTAATATATATGGCAGAATACATGAGGTTCTTGGTGGTTGAGGAACATGGATGGGGGAGGGAGTCTGAACTTGATTAAAAACTTTTGTATGAAATGTACAAAAGGTCAATTGAAAAAAATTTTAAATTTACATGTGTGCGTTTGTGTGTGGATATGTGCTTGTTAGTGCAGGTGCTCCCAGAGGCCAGAGGCATGAAATCCCCTTGGAGCTGGAGTTACAGGCAATTCTGAGTTGCCTGAGCTGCCTGATGTGGGTGCTAGGACTTGGGTTCTCCTGTTTGCACAGTAGGCAGTTGCCTGACTGAACTGTTTCTCCGGCCACATGATTTCTTTCTTATGCCACAAGTAATTCAGAAATGTATTGTTTTGTTTCCAGATATTTGATGATTTTTCCCCCTATATATTTCTCTTACTGTTTTGGTTATTGATTTCTCATTCAATTTCATCATGGTTGAAAATATTTTAAATATTTTTTTAAATATTTTTATATAGGAGGGGTGGGGTCATGAGTGGAGGAAGGGGTCTGAATTTGATTAAGAACTGTTGTATGAAATGTACAAAAGCTCAGTAAAAAATTTTTTTAATTTTTATTATTTCTATTTTATGTGTATATGTGTATTGCCTTCATGTAGGTAGGTGCACCCATGTTGTGCAGTGCCCACAGAGGTCAGAAGAGGGTGTTAGATCCCCTGGAACTGGAGCTACAGATGGTTGTTAGCTACCGTGTGGGTGCTAGGAATCAAACCCCAGTTCTCTGCAAGAGCAGCCAGTGCTCTTAACCACTGAGCTATCTCTCCAGCCCCTGAAAATATTTTAATATGACTTAAAATCTTTAAAATTTATTGAGTTTTATTATGGTCCTGAATATTGTCTTTCTTAGTAAATTCTTCCTGTTCATTGAAAAAAATGTATATTCTGCCCTTGTACTGTAGTGTTTGTTCTATGTCAGTTAGGTGAAGTTGGTTGCTAGTGTTCAAATTTTCTCTATATTTATTTATAAATCTCTATATTTATTTTATATGTTTCCTTCCCCATTTGTTATTTTATTTAATCAGTATGAGCTAATAGATATTTATCTTCTAGTTTGAATCTATGTATTTTCTGGTTTAAAATGTTCCAGCTTTTGGCCATTGAAAGGGAAGTCCTTTCATTTTGTTCCTGTTCCTCTGTAATATTCCCATCAATGCTATGTTTTGATTTGTTCTCTGATTTTGCTTTATGGTTGTTTTGTGACTTCCTTACCTTCTGGCACTAAGAAATGCTCCCAACACCAGATTTGGTGGCACAGGCTTTTAATAGGTGGAGTTTGAGGCCAGCCAAGGCTATATAGCGAGACCCTGTCTCAAAAAACCAAACAAAAATCCCCCCCAAAAGAACAACAAAAGAAATGTTCCCAGCTTATTTTAATATTTCTTATCTCAGTCTAGAATCAGCTATTCCTCCAGGGAGCCTAAATTCTTTTTTGGAGAATAATATTACAAACCATGAGGGGCTGGAGAGATGGCTCAATGGTTAAGAACACTGATTGGTTTTGCAGAAGACCAGAGTTCAAACCCCAGCACCCACATGGCAGCTAACAACTGTCCATAACTCTAGTCCCAGGGGATCTGACAGCCTCTTCTGTCCTCTTCCAGCACTGCATGACACAGGTGCACTTACCTACGTGCCGGCAATACACACATACACATAAAATAAACATAATAAATAAAATTTTTAAAAAATGAAAAAAGAAACCAAGACCTGAGTGACAAATATGCTTTGCTTTTGGAGTATCTCCTTTCTTTTAGGCACTTTTAACTGACAGATGAAGTATAGTATTAGTGCGTACACTAACCTATGTGTGCACATATCTATAAGTAGCTCTAAGCAAGCATGGGGGGTTTGGTGTTTCCAATTCCAGTCCACTGTCACATGGATCATTCTTGTTTCTTCCTTTTGCTGATCTGTAAATTTCTACTTCAACAATGTGAAACCTAGCTCCTGTCATCTATCATCTTCGTGTTTAATTATTCATTTACAGTACACATGCATGGTAATATCAGAATTGCTAACCTGTATCTATAGGAAATAACTTTATTGTCTTAGATTCAGAACTTTGTAGTTCCTTTTGCTTTTAGTCTTATACTATTTCTGAAGTTTCCTTTTCTTTCTCTCTTTTTTTTGTTGTTGTGTTTGGGGTTTTTGTTTGGCTGGATTTTCGGGGGGGGGTTGTTTTTTGAAACAGGCTCTCACCATGTAACCCTGGCTGACTTTGAACTTTCCATGTAGACCAGGCTGGCTTTGAACTCAGAGATCCTCCTGCCTCTGCCTTCCCCCAAAGTGCTGGTATTAAAGGCATGTACCACCACATCCAGCCATTTCTAAAGTTTCTTATATCAGTATTTTCCCCTTTACCCTTCAGTAAAGTAAAGTTGCTTCATACATTTATAATACAGTTAGATTCGCTTGCCAGTCTACATTCTTTCCTGGTACCCCATGACCCCATAAAAAGTGATTTGTTTAAAATTTGCCTATATCACTTAGCTAGGTCCCTGTAGTCCCAACTGCTTGGAAGGCTGAGACAGGAGGATCATTTAAACTTAAGCGTTTTAGGCTACCTTAGGCAACTTAGTAAAACCCTCCTTTCAACAAACAAACAGTAGAGTATGAGTGATTCCTAGCATTCAGGAGACTGAGGCAGGAGGACTTCGAGTTCAAGTACAAGGTATTTTATGGTATAGTGATATCCTGAATTTCTGTCTGAGAAATTTTGTTTGCCCTTAAAGTAGGCACATTTCTGTTTTAGCCCCTTAAATGCAGTGTGCAAAGATACGTGCACAAGTAACTTTCGGTCTAGGTGTCCTGTTTTCCTTAGAAAAATCTTTAAACCTTTGGAAAGTTGTAACTTGACAAGACATATTGCAACCTATGTCCCTGGAAGGGCAGGAAGTAGGTAAGTTGCTACTATATCTGGAATGGCTGTCTGGGACTGGAGAGATGGCTCAGCAGTTAAGACTCTGGCTGCTCTTGCAGAGGATCCAGATTCAGTTCCCAGCACCTGAGCGGTGGCTGACAGTAATCTGTAACTCCAGTTCCAGGGGATCTGACACCCTTTTCTGACCTCCATGGGTTTGCACTCACATGGTGCACTTACATACATTTAGGCAAACCAATCATAAACAAAATTTTAAAAATAATGAATTTAGAATAGATGTCTGAGAGATAGAGGCACCATGGAAACAAGAGACAAAAACCTCTGGGCTGTCAAACTTTTACAAATAGTCATAAACTGATGGTTGGCCTGAGAAATTAATCAAATATACTAAATTAATAATGCTAAAGGAAGGTTTCTTACCTGAAAATCACATCAGCCCCCTCAAAAGCAAACCTCACTAAGAGATTCTTTCCTTTCTTCATCACAGGTAACAGTCCCTTGGACAGCCCCCGGAATTTCTCTCCAAATGCACCTGCTCACTTTTCCTTTGTTCCTGCCCGTAGGTAAGTTGCTCTGTGACTAGTATATGTGTTAAATGGCATGGTCCCCCTTCAAGTCAGTGCCTTGGACCGTCAGCAATCAAAATTCCTTCCTTTCTTTCCTCTTCCAGATTTAGAACCATCTTGTTCAAGTTTTAGAGTTATTGTTGTTTTGTTTAAATTTTGCTTTCTAAGTGTCCTATGTATATGTAGCTGAATGTTTGAACAGATGAGTAGGTATAGAAAGTAGATCCATTTTTTATAATTCTAAACACAAGTAAGTCCCTGGTGCCCTAATATGTTCCAAAGCACTGTACTTCAACTGTCAACTTAGAGTGATAGCTAAGAAAAAGGGCTCTCCTCCCAATAGGATCCAAAATAACCCTTTTACCATCTAATTTATCTAGTTCCCAGAAACTGAAAGGACCTGACATACCTCTCTCCTCAGCTTTTGTGGGGTTTTGTTGTTTTTGTTGTTTATTTGACTTTGTTTTATTTTATGTGTATGAGCGTTGCCTGCATGTATGTAAGTACACCTGTGTTGTGCAGTGCCCACAGAGGCCAGAAGAGGCTGCTGGATCCACTGGGTCTGGAGTTACAGACAGTTGTAGGGGTTTGTTTGTTTGTTTGTTGTTTGTTTGGTCTTTTTGTTGAGACAGGGGTCTTCTTGTAGCCCCAGCTGGCCTGAACTCACAGTGTAGACCAGGCTGGCCTTGAATTCATAGAGATCTGCCTGCCTCTTCCTCTTGAGTGCTGGGGTTAAAGGCGAGTGCTGGGATTAAAGGCGTGCACCACCACGCCCAGGCAGTATTTGTCCTTTTAAGATGAGGGCTCTTACTATGTTGCTATGAGTGTTACTATGAGTGGCCAGAAGCTCATTGTGTAGACCAAGCTGGCCTCGAATTCATAGATGTCTGCTTTGTCTCTGTCTCCCAAATGCTAGTATTACAAATCTCCCTGGCTTTAAGCTGTGGGCCTGAGTGTGGGTACAGAAAGACTACCCAGTCTTTATTTTTCAGGCTTCCTGAACTTAAAAAGATTTAGTGATTCCCATGTCTCTCCTTTCTGAAAGTGATACAAGGTTGTTTCTAGCCCGTTCTAGCAAACTGCTGGCTCTCACCATGGCTAAGGCATTTTGTGAAGCCCATATTGACAGAATCTGTTCAAATCTTTTGCTAAGGTTCTCTCTACATACATCGCTTCTTCTTAGAACTTATTCTAAGATTCTTTCTTGGCCAAAGTTCAGGTTTGTGTTTTGCTTTTTGTTTCGTTTTGTTTTTTTGTCTTTTTGAAGCAGGGTCTCCCTGTAGCCCCAGCTGGCCTTGAACTGATATGATACATAGTGCTATGTAGACCAGGCTGGCCTTGAACTCACAGAGATCCGCCTGCCTCTGCCTCCCAAGTGCTGGGACTACAGGTGTGCGCCACCACACCCGACTCCTTGCTTTTGTTTTTTAATTTTGGGGTTTATTTGTTTAGTTTGAAGGTTTTATTGTTGTTGCTAGAGTTAGTTCTTAGTTCTAAGAAAAAAGTCTTTAATTCCAGAAAAATATGACTCCAGCTTTGTAACTGTTAATGGGTAAAAAATGTAATACACCTTGACATAAGAGCAGTTCTAATATTAAGGCTACTTTAAAAAGATATCACAGAGGGCTGGGGATGTAGCACAGTAGGTAGGGTGCTTGTCTGCAATGCATAAAGCACAGCATAAACTGGGTATAATGACACAGACATGTAATCTCAGCATTCAGGATGTAGAAGCAACATCAGCCATTCACAATCATCTTCAGCTACGTATTGAATTTGAAGACAGCTTGGGCTTCATTTTCTGCTATCTCTTAAATTTATATATTTTATTTTAATTTTTGGAGGAAGGATCTCATGAAGAGATTCGTGGAAATAGTACTTATTAATCAAGTTACAACCTAGAAGAAATGTGTCCTAGTCCTTTCTAGAACTCTGTGTAACTGAAAAGGATTTAGAAGGGTAAGGAGAGGCTAGCATCGGTGCCCCTCCTCATTCAGGTACTCAAAAGACATCTCATGCAGGTTTGTTCTGTGAACTCTCTATCTCATACAACTTCCATCTTGTTAATTAAAGATTCAGGTAGGATCACAGTGTTAAGAATATGCTGAATACTTGTGCTTCTAGCCCAGCTAGAAAAACTTACCCTAGACTCTCTGCCTGGTTTGTGTATGAACAGTAGTATCAGAATTAAGTGTGAGTTGGGATAGCAGGACCAGATCCACATAGGATGGTGTTGGGCATTTCTTGTTCATTCTGTTAGTACTTACTGAGAACTAACTTTGAGCCAGGCTCTATGTTAGGTGCTTAGTTAGGTCATGGTAACACAGTAGACATAAATCCAACTTTCTTGAAATTTCCAGTCTTTCTAGAGTCTATGTGCTTGTCCTGGTGTAAGGAAAGTTGTTCTCTCAGACTTTAACTTAGTTGACTCATTTTTGTCATGCATAGCTCATCTTAAATGTTATCTACTTAGACTTTTAACCACACAATGTGGACATCATCAAATCATGTCTTACATGTTTTCTATCTCACTGAAATTAGAATCAAATCATCTTTATTTTTATTTATTTACTTATTTATTTTTTGGTCTTTTTGAGACAGGGTTTCTCTGTAGTCCCAGCTGGACTGGAACTCACTATGTAAACCAGTGGCCTGGAACTCACAGAAATCCACCTGCCTCTGTCTCTGGAGTGCTGGGATAAAAGGCGTGCACCACCACACCTGACTTCAAGCCACCTTTAATAGAGCTACTTTAATGTGTTGAAAACTGTGTCTCCTGGTCTATAATAAGCACCTAGTGCTTGTTGGTTAGATGAATGTTGAGACTGAGACAATAAATGAATAAACAAACAAATGCATAGTTATAAACTAATAAATACCTTGAAAGGAAAGAACATGATGCTGCTTGAAAGAGAAGGAAGGGGCCAGAGCGTTCCCTCTAGGTGGTCACATAAAGCCCTCCTGAGAGATAGCTGTTCCATCGGGCATGAGGATACAGGCATGAAGACTAGTCTAGGCAGTGGGGAATGGCAGGTTTCATTTTCCCTGTAACTGCTTCATTTAGGTTTTAAGAATTGGACCAACTAAAGGGCTATGAGGCCTGTTATTTTTTTATTGATATTATTTTTTTATTTTATGTGTATGAGGGTATTGTCTGCATGTGTATAAATGCACCCTTGTCATGCAATGCCCATGAAGGTCAGAAGAGGGCATCAAATTCCTCTGGAACTGGAGTTACAGATGATTGTTGGCTACCATGTGGATGCTGGAAATCGAACCTGGGCCCTCTGCATTAGTAACAAGTGCTCTTAACCACTGAGCCATCTCTCCAGGCCTGTTATTAACCAGTGAGAACCAAACAGATCTGGGCTTTTAGAAGTGTGGCATTTGAGTTGTAGTCATAGAAGATGGGTCCCCAGACTGTCCACAGAACATATAGAAAAACAGCTAGGTGTATATGCTAAGAAGAAGAGCCCTAGAGATGTATATATCACATAAAAGACAGATTTAATTAAATGGTAATGATAGATCCATCTGTTATGTTGAAGTTTCACTTCAAACTGCCAAACATTTTGAAGAAAAGGTTTACCTCTACCAAGCTAGACAAAAATGTTAAAAGTTGGGTTGTTCTTGCTGGTTCTTCTGGTTCTCATTATAGTGTACATCTTTTTATTACAGCTATGGCCACAGATCAGACAGGTAATAATGGATGTGATGGGGAGGTGGGGTGGGCAACTCTTCTGCATGGTCAGTCAGTGTGGCTTGTGATTTTGTTTCTGATGAGAGAACTGGTTGTGATGATTCTTTTCTGAGTGTGGTTGTAGACACTGGGCCTTTCCAGCAAAGAGACCCTATAGGATCCCACACTGTCTGCTAGAACCCAGGCTCTGAGAGTTCAGGTTAGAAGCAATATATCTTGAATATTGATATACTTGTGCTTCTGGCCCAGCTGAAAAACTTAGCTTAAACTCCCTTCCTGGTCTATATGAACTGTAGTTCCCAGGAACAAGTCACCCTCATTCTCACATCTTGCCTCAGTCTCCCTGTAAAGTGAGCAAACAGAGAAAATAGACGTCCTATGGTGGCATTTCATAATGACTTTGGTGGTCCCTGCTCTTCAGAGTACGCAGAAAAGTGGTTGTCCTGTAATTGGTTTTCTTTTTGTATAAAGGATTGAAAATCGCCTATGAAAAACAAGGGCTTAGGAAATCTATCCCTGAGTTACCTTGTCTAATCTTTGCTGAACTCTGGAATTGACTGGCTTTTCCTGGAATTGACTGGCTTTCTTTATACAGACCACCCAGCAAAGTGATAAGAACATCGTATTTAGCACCCTCCTGAACATTGTTTTGCCTTGGAGACTGGGTTCCAGTGGAGTTTTCACTTACATGTGCTGGCTATCTGGGTGGCATGAAGTTTGAATCTTGAGCATGTAGCATGGAACCCCCAACTATTTCCTTTATAATCATAGTAGAAAAACTACTTAGTATTGGTAAAGGTGAAGTGGGGCTACATCAAAAGGAAAAGCTCAGCCAAGATTGTTTCCTGCTTTCCTTTTTTCTTCTGCCCCCCTGCTATAGTTGTGAGACATCGGATAAATATCCAGGTTTCTGGGTTTTAAAGTTTTTTCTACAAATTATAATTAGAACTTAATTGCTGATGTTTTAAGAGTCTGTGAGTAGTAGCAAAGATATTTTTATTGGGTTTCAACATGAGCAGATTATGCCACCAAGCTCCAAAGATAGAATACTTTAGGGCAGAGCTAGGCGTGGTGGCACACGCCTTTAATCCCAGCACTTGGGAGGCAGAGGCAGGTGGATCTCTGTGAGTTCAAGGCCAGCCTGGTCTACATGGTGAGTTCCAGGACAGCTGGGGCTACAGAGAGAACCTGTCAAAAAGACCAAGAAATAAAATAAAATAAAAAAACTTTAGGGCCAGCAAAATGGCTCAGCAGGTAATGGGGCTTACTGCCAAGTCTGGTAACATGAGTTCAATCCCCAGAACCCACATGGTGGAAGGAATGGACTAACTCCTACAGGTTGTTTTCTGACCTCCACATGTGCTCTGTGCAGACACCCCATCTAAAGGATCTTAGATTATCCCTAGGCCACTTGGTTGACAATCAAGAAGAAGTGGACCTGAACTGAACTGAACATTAACCACTGGCAAATAGTTATGGGTGCCTAGGAGCCATTAGGACCCATAAACTTGACATCAAGAACATTTGCCAAAGAGTGACAGTGGCTTTATGAAAGAGGAGAGAAGTGACATATCTTTGGCTGTTTTTGAGACTTTTGGAGTGGCTTCCTACTGTTCTCAAAAGGATGCCCCCCAAATTCTCAACACAAAGAACCACAGTTCTTTGCTTTACTGAAGTGGAGAAAGATTAAGCAAGTATCTGAGTATGGATATATAATTCTTTGCCTAGACCATGGGATGTGGCATAAAGAAGTCATTGTTTTTTAAATATTTATTTAGACACTGTGCGTGTATGTGTCTATGTGCGCATGCCATGGTGCATGTGTAGAGGTCAGAGAACAACCTGTTGGAGTCAGTTCTCTCCTTCTACTGTTTAAGTCCCAGGAATCAAACTTAGTTCTTCAGGCTTGGAAACAAGAACCTTCCCCACTGAGCCATCTCAAGTGAGGAGGTCAGAAGACAGCTTATAGGAGTTCACAGTGTTCAGGGTGACTGCTTGGATCCTGGGTTCAAACTTGGGGTATCAGATTTGGCAGCAAGTGCCTTTGACCCACTGAGCCATGCTGCCAATCAATAACATGTTCTTATTCAAAGTCATAGACTCCTCGTAGTCTGTGGTAGCTATCTCTGAAATAAAAATCATACAGTAGGCCCCTTGTAAGAGAGGTGTGAGAGCTTATGCTAGACAGAGTGTTTTGAGACAGTGAATTAACTACCTAAAAATATTGGTGGACACAGGTAGGCAGGTCCTGGAGCATAGATTAGAGACCTGTAAGAATTGCTTAATCTTCTTTCTCTTTCTGTAGGACTGATGGGCGACGCTGGTCTTTGGCCTCTTTGCCTTCTTCAGGCTATGGAACCAACACTCCTAGCTCCACTGTCTCAGTAAGTAGCCAAATCTGTGACCACACCTTCTTCACTCTGAGAAAGTATTTTCTCACAGGTAATTTGCTCTCCATCCAGTCCTGCAGAGTGATACTCAACTTTTCTTCCAAAGTCAAGATTTCTTGGAGATAAGGCTTGAATAGGGAAGAGGGTTGGTAACTCTTTACAGCCATGATTATATTTATAAGGTATAAGGCCTTTAGAAGGATTAGCAGTTCCTTCCCCAGTTCTTACTAATGGATTAAAAGAAGAGATCTTGAAAATGGACTTTGTCTTTACCAGTGAGGTTTTTGTTTTGTTTTGTTTTGTTTTTAACTTTTCAAAAATTAAGAGCAAGGGCTGGAGAGATGGCCCAGCGGTTAAGAGCATTGGGTGCTCCTGCAGAGGACCCAGGTTCAGTTTCCAATACCGACACAGCAGTTTACAACCATCTGTAGCTCCAGCTCCAGAGGACCCAGCACTTTCTTTTGGCCTCCACAGGCATTATACAACATGGGTTCACTTACATACATGTAGGGAAAACACTCATATACATAAAATAAAAATAAGTCATGTTATTTTTTTAAGTAAGAGTGATTTGTTATCTCAGTTTGTTATATCAACAAAAAGCTGAACCTGTCTCTAAAACTTGTATGCCTTTTTTTTTTTATCTTTTTGAGTCAGGGTCTCTCTTTTAGCCCCAGTTGGCCTGAACTTGCTATGTAGACCAGGCTAGCCTTGAACTCAGATCTACCTGCCTGAGTGCTGGGATTAAAGGTGTGTGCCACCACACCCAGCTTTTATATGCCTTTTAGAGAGGATTTCAGCCTAAAGTACAATAGATATGTACCTTCCTAGGATGCACAATTGATCTTAAAATGAGTCCTCCTCTTAGAGTAACTTTTCACTAAAGCCAGGATGATAGAGTTGACAAACTTTCTGTAAAGGATCAAGTAGTGTTTTAAGATTCATAGACCATGAACTAGATGACCCTACCCATTTCTTTTGACATCTTTAGGTCTTCTCTGATCAGTTTATCTATAGTCATGAATCACAAGCAAGGAAAAGTACTTCTATTTCCATTGTCCTGGACATTACTGTTAAATTAATCCAAAGCTCTCATTGGACTTTTGCAGTTAAGCCTAAAATTTTTCTCTAATAAACATACCCTTCTCTCATAATCTTTAAGTGGTATTTTATAAACCTCAAGGAAGAGTTACATATTTGTATTATGTATGTATGTATAACACACCATATTTCTGCTCAGTAAATTTCAATAGACTTAATCCATGACTCCAACTTGTTGAGATACATTTTTTCTTTTTGAGACAGCATCTCAATCTCACCATGCCAGCTAGGCTGGCCTCATTTTTTCAACCTCATGCCTCACCCTCCTGAGTGCTATGATTACAGGCATATACCACCACACCTGGCTATTGAAATACTTCAACATACCAGTTTTGTACACCATAACTTATATTGCCTCATCAGTTTCATTTTAGCTGCAGTTGAGTGAGTATTCTCTTTGCAGTTTTGATATAACCAGAGCCCTGTAAACACCTCACACTGTTTACGACTCTATGCATTACAACATTCCTTGAGAGACACATAAACAGAGTTCATTTCTCATTCAACTCTGTGACAGCAGAGTTCACTCAGCGTGGTGCTCATGTTTTGACATGAAATGGATTTAGGTGGTTGAACTCCAAGCCCTTGATTGGTTGGTAAATGGAAAGTTGGGCCAGTCCTGTTAAACTTGGCCTACTCTCTGGGCTAGTCTTATCAGGTAAAGGGAGAGCTCTGGAGTTCTAGGACTTCATGGATTTCCACCATAGAACCAGCTTGATCCCTCAAATGGGTTGCTATGAATGATAGGCTCTGTCAGAAATCCTCAGGTACTGAGACAAATAAAGAACTTGATACTGTTTTTCATATCAGGTCTAATCTTTTTTTTTTTCCTCTTTGTCTTTTTGAGACAGGCAGGCTGGCCTCGAACTCAGAGATCCGCCTGCCTCTGCCTTCCAAGTGCTGGGATTAAAGGAGTGCACCACCCTGCCTGGTCAGGTCTAATCTTTTAAAGATCTAAAAGCAATTTTTTTTCTCCTGCTGGATTTTTTTGCTTTGTAGTATCCCTGGCATCCTGCCACAGTCTTCCCTAACCTCAACAAAGCAATTTTCTCCTTTGAATAACAACCAAACACCTGAAAGGAAGCATTGCTGAGCCTCCCCAGGGTAGTGTTCTCAGGATTGTGAAAGGGAAAACAAGGGATGGCGTTTGCACTTAGCATGCCTGGAATACTTATGGAGCCAGGAAGAACTTACCATTCCAGCTAGCCAGAAGGTTTATTGAGGGCACAGAGTTCATGTCAAGGAATCTGCATTTTCTATTTTACCACCTCAAGTGGCTCCTAGGTGATATGGAATTCTCACATCTCATGAAGGTTTGAGTCCACCTTCCAGCACTCCTAAAGGACTCCAGTGTCTTGGCTTCCTCGGTGCTGAGAATTCTGCTGAGGGAACACCAGTCCCGGCTGGAGGGAGCCAGGAAAGGGGGCCTACATTCAGTTTACACTGACTGAGAAATTCTTGAGCAGTTTCAGACGTTTTCCATTCTCTGATGGCCCTTGCATGTGTCTTGTTCATTTTGTTTTATTACATTGGCGGTGGAGGGGTGTACATGCCTGTGTGTGTCAGGAGGCCAGAAGAAAGGATTAGGTATCCTCTATCACTCATCACCTATTCTTTTGAAGCAGGGTCTCTCCCTGAACCTGGGGCTCCTGTTTACTTGGCTAGGCTGTTACGAGAAAGCCCCAATGATCCTCCTGGCTCCACTATCCTTGAAGCTGGAGTTACAGTCTTCTGTGGGTACTGGGATCCAAACACCAGACCTCATGGTAGTGCAAAAAACACTCTTAACCACCAAGCTGTCTCTCCAGACCCCTTGCATGTATATGTCTTTAATGCTGGTTTTTGTGTATGTTTTTCAGTCTTCCTGTTCCTCACAAGAAAAGCTCCATCAGTTGCCTTTTCAACCTACAGCTGATGAACTACACTTTCTGACAAAGCATTTCAGCACAGAGAGTGTGCCAGATGAAGAAGGACGGCAGTCCCCAGCCATGCGGCCCCGTTCGCGTAGCCTCAGGTGAAGAGTCTCCTGCCTACTCCCTGGTACCTATGGGCCACAACTTATATGCATAGTGCAGAGGTGATCACATATGTCCTGCAAAGGGCCAAGATAGTAAATATTTTAGGCTTTGCATCCAGCTATCTTTGTCACAGCTACTTAACTTTACTGTTGTAGTACAGTTAACTTCCTTGGGTAACTTAGAAGCTTTATTTATAAAAAGGGGATTGAGCCAGATTTGATCTACAAGGCCATTAACCCCTGGTCAAGCACAACCAACTTGAGTGAGTCAAATCTGATAAGACTCAAGCCCCTTTTGGCTTTAAGTTCTGCTCAGCATATCACTTTGAAAAACTGTCTTGATGATACTCTCTGATAGCTTTTTTCAGTTCTGAAAATGATCATGGCATGACTTAAGTTCAACTTTTCTTGGTTGAATTGGCTGATACATGTGTGTTGAGGTCCCAAAGGAGTTGTGTCCCAAGGAAGAATCCTATCATGTAATGCTGGCACTAGGCATGACAAGGAGTCACTGGCCAGTCACTGACCAGGCCATAAAAACTGATTCAGATTCACAAATTATAAAAATGATAAGTGGGACTTAAGTGTGTAGGATCAAGAATACAATAAGAATGTGGATCCCAGAGCCTATCTTGATCTTATAATGGAGTGACTAAATATTGGTGGCCTTACAACTCACATGGAGTAAGGCTTCCTTTCAGGACAATTGAGATTGAGAGAACTGTAGTGACACTCAGGGAAATTCCTGAAGGGAGAAAGGCTTATTCCAGGGTAACGGACAGAGGGACAGTTTTCAACCTAACCCAACTGAGATCATGTGTCTGGGCACTAAACTAGGTATTCAACTATATGACTCAAAATTTGAATTGTTGAGATATAATCACACATGTATGAGAGGAGAATATACAGGTTACTATGGAAAGTAATAAAAAGGCTAAAAAATTATTGGCTCCTTTCAAAGAAAGACCTAGGCTTAGAACTCACTACCAGCTCTTGCATCTTTCAGGTGACAGTCAAAGTAACCCATTGGCTGTAGCTTGCTTGAGAGAGAAAATAAGTATATATAGTCTTTCTTTGCTTGCTCTGGAAACCTCCAGAGCTTGATTTGATTCCTAGAACGTGCTTGGATACATGAAATTCCACTAGCCAAAGCTATCAGGACAAAGGAGTCCTATTCTGGGGTGGTCATCCAAGAAAAGCCACTGGTGAGCTGGCAAGTAGCCTCCTCCTTTCTTAGCCATGGCACAGAGCTTCATGAAAGCCAGCCTTCTTGCTGGAAGGTAGCCTAGCTCTAGATAGCACTATTTTTGAACTAAATAAATGTGCTAGAAGCTCTAAGAATAAGGAAAGCCTAGACCTTAGCTCTTGTGAGTGTGGGGATGTGTGATACTGAAGATAATAAGGGACTTGAGAGATGGCCATCTTTCACCGTGATAATTTCCCAGCATTATAATAGTATAATTGTTTCTTTCTTATTCAGTCCTGGACGGTCCCCAGTTTCCTTTGACAGCGAAATAATAATGATGAACCATGTGTACAAAGAAAGATTCCCCAAGGTAAGGATTGGTTTCAAAGGAGACAGTAATGTCTTAAGGATAGCTGCCTGTAACCAACCCAGTGGGAGGATTCCAGAGTGAGGGGGTGAAGTGCTGCTTGCAGAGATAACCCAAAAGATCAGTTTTGAAGGCACAGGGAGGAGTGGGAGAGAAGAACACAAGCATGAAGGATTCCAGACCACTGTAGCAGCAGGAGGCAGCAGGGAGCTTTGTTTGCAGAGCCTTTGTTTCTCTACTCCCCAAAGGGAGAGGTGACTGGAGGAATGTCACATTGTATGTTAAAGACCTGGAGGCCTGCTTTCTCATCATGCATGCCAAGATTTGTGACTAAGCCCCCTGCCCCACAAGGACAGAATTTACTCTCTAGTCACAGCCTCATTTGATATAAATTTCTTAGAAAGTACATAGCCAGAGGGATGCTGAGCTAGCAGGAAGAAGGCCAGGAGAACAGCGTTGTCAAGAGACAGAAGTCCCAGCCTTGCTTGCTAATATTTGTATTTGCATTCTCAAGCTGGAAAATGCTAAGAAAGAAGATAGGTGATCCGGAGATAGCTGGGAAATAGCACTCACATTTCCACAATTAACCTCCTTGTCTTGGAACCAGTACATTAATTTTTATCCCCGCCCCCTCCTCATCCCTAAACTCCCTCCTTTTTTTCCTTTTTTTAAAAAATTTGCTTGTTCCAGTTGAGGGGTTTTGTTTTGTTTTATGTTTGTTTGTTTTGTTTTGTTGAATCAGAGTCTCACTTTGTAGCTCTGTTCTGGAACTGATATAACCCAGGCTAGTCTCAAACTCTCAGTCTTGTCCCAGCCTTGTGAGTGCTAGTATTGCAAGCCTGCTACCACAGGCAAGCAGCTGCATTTCTGATTAAGAACCATATACTGTCTTTGACCTGGCCTTCCACAAGATAGCCCTGCTTCTACAAAAAGCAATCAGCACTGTCTACTATCCCTGACAGCAGGAACTTGGGGTGCTCAGGTCTCCCTGGGTCAATTAGTCTATGTATCTCTATCTGGGCTGTGTGGTTCCTGCTGCTCTGAGTGTCCCTTCCCCTAAACTGTTCAGTCAGTCTCCTGCATACCCATTACAGCTGTGGAAGATGACTGAATGCCCTGTGCTTTTCTTTCTTGACATATACCAGTGAAGCCTAGTAACAAGGACCCCAGCCACCTGCATTCAGATCTGCTCCATACTAGCTATAAGACTCTGGACATATTTAACTTCTTTGAGCTTCATTTGCCTCATCTACATTTCAGAATAACAGGATTATCTGTCTTATAGGAGTTTATAAGGATCAGTGAACACTATGATTTTGTAAGAGTATGCAAGACATAGGAAGTACTCAGTAAGTATTAGCTGTTAACTTTTGTTTAATCTGTGCCCTGTGATGTCCACTTTCTAACTTTGGAGTGGACCTAAAAATAAGAGCAAAGAAAGAAAGGTCAGGAAAAACAGTTAGAAATTCATTTTGCTGCACTTCATAACGAACTTCCAGAGTGTATAATGTTGAGAAATGTATCATGTATGTCTCCTTCTTGTATGTAGGTGTTGTATTGACATCCTAGCACCATACATTGGTATTTATAGTTATGCCTTTGGCCTTCATCTCTGATGGATGGTAGAGAAAATAAGTTGATTTCTTCCCTTTTTTCTCTCCCTCTTGGTGCTTTTGCTCTCTTTCTCCCTCCTTATACACCCACACACAAACATAGAAATTTGTGTCAGCACACTGGGGATCAGAAATCGCCACCCAGTGCAAAAGAAAAGAAGTCAGAGTCTAAGAGATGCAATTGTTAACTTGTTCACTGATGTGTGTTTATCATTTTGACATGACTCTGCAGTTAGGTCTCTAAGAAAGCTCTAATCCACACCTCCATTCTGCTCTGCTGGGGATCTAGGTCAAGGTCACGTTCCTATTCACAACCCCATTCATCCCAACTTGGCTTCTGAGATCAGGCAGGTTCATACCTTCAATAAATGTTCTCTGAGCACCTGTTATGTTCAACAGAAACTCTGATAAGCATGAATTCAGGTTAAGGAGGAGGGAACCTATGATAATGAAACTCTGACTTTGTAGAATTGCATACAGAGAACAGTTTAGAAACCAGCATCATCTGTACTCCAGATGTATCCAGTCAGGAGACACATGGAGTACAGAGGGAAAGGAAACCTTTGTTATCCAGGGAGCGAAAGACTTCTCTGAGGAGAGATGATGCTTGAGTGAGATAAGAAGAAATAACAAGGGACTGGAGAGATGGCTTGGTGGTTAAGAGCACTGGCTGCTCTTGTAGAAGACCTGGGTTCGAATCCCAGCACCCACAGGGCAGTTAACAACCATCTGTAACTCCAGTTCCAGTGGACCCAAGAGCCCTCTTCTGTTCTCCACAGGCACTACATGACACAGGTGTACTTACACGCATGCAAGCAATACACTCATACACAAAAATAATAAAATTTTTTTTAAAAAAATAACAGTACCTTGTGAGGAAGAGATGGCACAGTAAGAAGGCTGCTGCTGTTGGGGGAAAGTGTAAACAGAAGGTAGTGGCATGAAATATGGTGTGAGAGACCAGCAAACCTTGTTTATCTGCAGAGCTAAAGTACTTGCAATATAGGATGTTGTAGGAGACACAAATCTGGGCAACAGAGGACCCTGAATCTAATGCTGAGACACTGTGAGTTGACAGAGGTGATCTCTTCATGTCTTCAGTCATTAGGTTTCCCAATACAACATTTGGAAGCAAGTATACAGGGAGCCCATCCTTGAGGATTTGCTGCAGCTAAGCTGGGACTGGAAAGGAAGTGTCAACTTTTCTTTTATTCTCAGGCTACTGCACAAATGGAAGAGCGACTAGCAGAGTTCATTTCCTGCAACACTCCAGATAGTGTGTTGCCCTTGGCGGACGGAGCCCTGAGTTTTATTCATCATCAGGTTATTGAGATGGCTCGAGACTGCCTGGATAAATCTCGCAGTGGCCTTATTACATCACGCTACTTTTATGAACTTCAAGAGAATTTGGAAAAACTTCTGCAAGATGTGAGTGTCTTGATGTGGGGACTGTGGTGAAATTTCTTCCAGGTAACCTTGGGCCAAGATCAGGAGTCATCAGCACTCCCAGTCTCCTCAGCTGCTGACCAGGTCTCCATGCCAGCATGTGGGAACCTCCAAATTTGGTTCTGATGGGCATAGATCCCTCCCCAGGCATCTACATCACTGAGAGAAACCTGCTTGGTTTCAGAGAAACTCAGTTCTGGAGTCCTTTTCTAAATCCAAAACTGTATTACTCTGCCTGAGACTCCATTTGTTGTATTTAATTCCAATATTGGTAGTACTCGTAGGTATCTGACTTGTTACCAAAGTCAAAAAGTGCACCAGTGGATTTAAGCAGAGCCTTCCAACTGTCTCCTTGCCCCAGAGGAAGCAGGGCTAGGGCTTATCCTGTGGGTGTGATCATTTAACTGATGTTTCATTTACTGATGCTTCATTGTCCTGCTGAAATGCTCTATAAGGGCTTCTGTGTTTAAAGATGTGACCCTCCTCTGTGAGTTCAAGGCCAGCTTGGTCTACATAGTAAGTTCCAGGCCAGCTGGGGCTACAGGGAAACCCTGTCTCAAAAAGACTAAAAAAAAAAAAGACATGGTATCCTATACCCCAGGCTGTGCAACTAAGGATGATCTAGTGGTAGTATACACCTTTAGTCCCAGTACTTGTGGGAGGCAGAAATGGGCAGATCTCTGTGAATTCAAGGCCAGCCTGGTCTACATAGAGAGTTTCTGGGCAGTCAGGGCTATACTGAGGCCCTGTCTCAAAAAACAAACAAAAAGAGGTCATCTCCCCTAGTGTAAAAAGTCTCTAGGAGAGCTGGAAAGATGGTTTGGTGGCTAAGAGCATGTAGTGCTTTTGCAGTGGACCCATATTCCTTTCCCAACACCCACAATGGGTGACTTACAACCATTTGTAACTTTAGCTCAAAATGATCTGACACCCTCTACTGGACTCTGTGGGCACCTGCACTCACATGCACATACTCTCATACAGACACACATATATACATAAACACAGTTAAATAAATCTTTAAAAACAAATGTCTCTGGGAGACTAAAGGTAAAGGAATCCAGGAATAGCCAAGACCAAAGCATGCACTGAGTTCTTATGTAACCACTGCCTTGCACTCCATTGCTTATCTCAGATCTGGTCAGATGCCTTTCCAGTCAGCTTATGCCATTGGCACTATTTGAAGAAAGGGGAGCACCTGTTTCTCCAGGGCTCTTCATATCACTAATATGTATCTTAGTCAAGAACCCTTTGTCTCCTCTATACCCCGACCTTTCTGTAGAAAGATTAGTGAGGGCCCAGAGCTAAGGATCAAACAGGACTTTGATGTGAATCTAGAAATTGGAAGGAACAGAGAATTTTAGGGAACAGTTGAATCTAGAAACAGATAACTAAAGCTGGTCATCTTTAGATGATTATTACTGTCAAATGCTATATTTTTCACATGACAAAGATAAAAGATTAGTCTCTATACCCTTGAAGATATAATACCTACCAGTAGGCAGGTATTAACAGTGACAAAGTTTTGATTAAATAGCTTAAGAAGTCCTTCTGTCTACAAAAACAAAAAACCTTCCTCTAGTTTCAAAGTTAATACTTAAATTCATACATTGTATAAGAATGAACAACTTGAAAAAGTCAAATTCCTATGAAAAGCAGCTGTTTGTTCCTAGTAAAGAATAACTTTCTGGGGCTGGTGAGATGGCACAGCATGTTGAAGGCCTGACAACTGAGTTCTATGCCCAGGTGGAAGAGAAACCCAGCTCCTAAGAGTTGTCCTCTGGCTGCCACAGGCATACTGTGGTATGTGAATGCCCATATACACACACACACTCTCACACAAAATAAATACATAAAAATTTAATTTTTTTAAAATTTTATTTATTTATTTATTTATTTTGGTCTTTTTTGCGGAGGTGTTAAGAGTACTAGCTGCTCTTGCGGAGATCCCGGGTTTGATTCCCAGTACCCACATGGCAGCTAACAACCATCCTAAATTCCAGTTTCAGGGGATCTGATGTCCTCTTCCGACCTCCATGGGCATTGTACAACACAGGTACATTTATGTATATACAGGCAATAAAATTTAAAAATAATAATAATAAAATATTTTTTTAAAAGAATTACTTTCTGGCCTGGGCATATAGCTTGATGGAATAGCATCTACCTAATATATATGAGGCCCTAGGTTTAAACCCAGTGCTGAGGGTGGGGGAGGACAGGTTTCCAGACAAGAAACAACAGCAGAACTCTGGAGACTAAAGCAAGAGGATCTCAAGTTTGAGGCCAGCCTGGGCCACATAGTGAAGCTCTGTCTAGAAAAAGACAAGGGACTAGGGAGATGGCTCAGTTAGTAAAGTGACTGCCACATAAGAATGAAGACCTGAGTTTGGATCCCCAGCTCCCATGTAATAAGTCAAGCATGACAGCATGCTTTTGTCACCTTGGGGGATGTGGGGGGAGAGATTCCTAGAGCTCATTGGCAGCCGGTCTAACCAATCAATAAACAACAGTTTCAGTAAGAGACCCTGTCTTAAAAAAATAAGATTGAATACAATAGAGGACCTCTGAACATATTTGCACATACACAAACACCACACATACACACACACACACACACACACACAGAAAATAAAAGGAAAAGAAAATCGAAACAAAGAATAGTCTTGTTCTGACAGTTTTCTTACAGTGATTGGTTTGTCTTAACAATATTTAGAAATCAGGAGACTGATCAATGTCTCACACAAAGAATTAACATTGAGTGACTCCTGAGATCAGTTGTTTTCTTTGATAGATTCTCTGTATCGCCCAGGCCTGTCTTGAACTAGTGGGCTCCAGTGATCCTCCCACCAGCACCTCCCAATTAGCTTGGACTATAGGCATGTACTCCTAAGCCTGGCTCCACAGTCCCTCCTATATCTAAGATTGATCTAAAATGCTAACGCCTGATGACCTGTGTTCAGTCCTTGGAACCCACATGTTTAGAAGGAAAGAACCAATTCCCACAAGTTGTCCTCTGACCTCCACATGTGCACTGCTGCCGATGTACACATACACACATGCATGTGCATGTGTACATACACACAAAATATATAGGGAGGGGGGAGGGAGGGAGGGAGGGAAGGAAGAAAGAAAGAAAGAAAAGAAAGGGAAGAAATATTGTAAAAGTCAGCATCTTATTCTATATGGCAGCAGAGTAATTCAGGAGGCTCAGGAAGTATTTTAAACAGCCTCTCAGAGGGACTGAAGCATAAAAGTATATCCAGAAACTGCAGAGTCATTTGACATGATCACACTAGGAAAACATTGGTAAATTTGAAGAGTTATACTGAAGGCTTTAGGAGAAGCTTAAATTGTATTTAATTTTGTGGCCAGGCAGTGGTGATGCACACTTTAATCCCAGCAGTCAGGAGGCAGAGGCAGGCAGAGCTCTGTGAGATTGTGGCCTGGTCTACATACTGAGTTCTAGGCTACCTGGTGCTTCAGGGAGACCCTGTCTCAAAAAAAACAGAAAAGAAAAAAATTAAATTTGTGCTTAAAATAATAAATATCACTAACACAGAGCACTTAATACATGCTATCACTTTATCTTAATTATTTAATTTTTATAACAGTCCTGTAAAGAAAGTATTATTAATGTTATCTAAATTTATTGATTTTTTTAAAAGGAGCTTACAAGGACTATGACAAGGTAATAACTCATCTCTTAAGTACCAGAGCTAGAGCCCAATCTCCAGTTGTCTTATTCCAGAGCTTAACAGCATCCAGCAAACATATACTAGTTTTTTCTGATTTTTTCTTCTGGTTATAGGCTAGGTATTATGCTAGGCTTAGCATGTGCTAGAAGAAAGGGGAAACATAGCCTCTCTCTCTGTGAAGCCCTCCAGTGTAGTGTAACTGGGGATGGTAAATCATAAAACATCCTGATGCTTGTATTCTCTGAGCAGATAGCTAAGAAAGCAGTTCTCATTCCTGGCTCCATGTATGTCGTGTGTGTGTGTGTGTGTGTGTGTGTGTGTGTGTGTGTGTGTACATGTGTGGGGGTGCCCACAGAGGGCAGAAGAGGGCTTCAGATCCCCTAGAGCTGGGTTACAGTTGTTTGTGAACCACCTGATATGAATGATGGAAACTAAAGTCCAATTCTAAAAGAGCAGCTCTTAATCCCTGAGCCATCTCTCTAGCCCAAAACTGTTTATCTTCTCATAGTTACCTTTGCATTTACAGGTTTTCAATTCTATTTCTCTAAAAATGAAGTAGCAGCTCCCTTCTCTTCTTGCTCCTGCTGCTCCCATATACCTTAGAAACAGCACACAGTTGTGGCCTTAACTCTGTCCTTCCTGCCTTTACTTATCATTTTCATCTGGATTGGTATGCTTGCCTGTATGGGTTTTACTCCTTTTAGGATTTCTCTCTTCAGTGCACTCTGTAGCCAGAGTGATCTTTCTGTAATACCTCCTGGTCATACCACTCCCTGGCTTTGAGTTTTTTTATTCTAGTCTGTTTGGGGTACAAAGTAATCCTCACTGAAACCTTTGAGAATTTTTCCATTAATCTGGGGTCTGAATGGTAAGTAAAATTTGTTGGATAGAGGAGTAAATGAAGCTGTCTGTGTCTGTGTAAATTCCACAGTGTTTAAAAGTACAGTGGTTCCTGATGAACAGCTTGCTCTCTCACAGCAGATTAGACTTTTCTGAATTCTCTGCTTTTCAGAACTCTCTGTACAACCAATTATTTCTTCCTGTAGTTCTGTGCCGTCTAGTCCTGCTTAACCCAACCACATTGGAATAACATACTGTTTTAAGCAACCTTTCTCTTCTCCATAGGCTCATGAGCGCTCAGAGAGCTCAGATGTAGCCTTTGTGATACAGCTGGTAAAAAAGTTGATGATTGTCATTGCCCGTCCAGCTCGTCTCCTTGAATGCCTGGTGAGTCAACTCAGGAAGGTTGGGTGGGCAGATAGGAGGTTAGGGAATGTGGAAGAAGTAATCTTGCCAACAACAAAACCAGCAGTACTGCTAACATTTCTGAGTTCCTTATTTAAGTATGATTTGCAAGCACTTGGGGGACTAAGATTATTCAGTGTGCTGGGTAACTTTAGTGTCAACTTGACACACCTGGGTGGGGAATTGCCTCTCTTGTCTGAGGGGCATCTTCTTGATGAGTGATGTGGGAGGGCCCAGCCCACTGTGGGTGGTACCACCCATAGGCAGGTGGGCTTGTGTTGTGTAAGAAAGCAGGCTGAGCAGGGACCAGGAGAGCAAGCCAGTAAGCAGCATTCCTCCATGGCCTGTGCTCTAGCTCTTGCCTGTAGTTTCCTGCCCTGAGTTTCTACCTTGTGCTCCTGGATGAACTGTGACCCGGGATATGTAAGCTAAATAAACTCTTTCCTCCCCAAGTTGGTAGCGGTCAGAGTGTTTTGTCACATCAATGAAGAAACAAACTAAGACAGTCAGTCAACAGTCTTGAGCTATATAACAGTAAGAAGTATTAGTCTGGCCTCCCCTCATGCTAAGCCAGCCTAGAGGGCCAAGAACATAAAGGAGCCTAGGCCAGTTTAGCTTGCCTAAGTGGAGTCCTTTGTTTAATCATTCAGTTGCACACTACTGAGTACCTACTTCATTGGACACTCAGGGTCCACCATAAGGGCAGATTCTCCAATCTCAAAATACTTTTTGTGCCACAAACAAATATAAGGCATGTAGATGTGTAAATGATTATATTATAGGAAGAGTCATAACTGGTCAGTACAGTGTGCAGTGGAAACCTAGTAAAGGAGGTGTTTCCATTCTCCTTAGAATGAACATAAGTAAAAGCTCCCTGAGGAACATGAAATCCATTCAGTGACTAGGAGATTGAGTGCAAGTTGTCCAGGTGAGGGGTATGGGACAGGACATTCAGGGGAGCACAGCAGTGTGTTTGAAGAGCTGGTGAGGGCCGAAGCTAGAAGAGAAGCTCTTTGGGGTCGTGGCACATGTTGGGTTCTTGGCCTGATCCTTATAAGGCCATTTGAAGCTGCCAGAAAATTTAGGTTCAAATGTGTCACAGTCAGATATATTTTGTTGTTTTTTTGAAACAAGATCTCATGTAGCCCAAGCTGGCCTCAAATTTACTATATTCCTAAGGCTGGCTTTGAACTCCTGATCCTCCTGTCTCTACCTCCCATGAACTGGGATTATAGGCATGTACCATTATACCCAGCTTTCTTACCTGTCTTTATCAATTAACATAAAATATATTTCTTTGAAATATGAAGTCCATTGAATTTTCACATTAATATATACCTGTGTAATCACTGCCATAGTTGAACTAGGAACTATTTCTGTTGTCTCAAAAGGTTCTCTTGTGTCCCTTTGTGGACACTCTTTTCCTCTTCCTACTGTGAGGCAATGCTTACTGCTTTCACTATTGACACATTACTTTGTACAGTTTCATGTGCCAAGACCAATGTTGTAGTATGTTCTGGCTTCTTTTACTCAGTAGAATAGGTTGGATTTTTGGGGTTTGGTTTTTGTTGTTGTTTTTAAGATATATATATAACATATACCAGTATGTGGCTCCTATATATTTCTGAGCAAATACTCTATCAAATTTGGTTTTAGGAAAGATTACTTTAGCCAGGTGTTGTGGCGCACACCTTAAATCCCAGCACTCAGGAGGCAGAGGCAGGCGGATCTCTGTGAGTTCAAGGCCAGCCTGGTCTACATAGTGAGTTCCAGGCCAGCTGGGGCTACAGGGAGACCCTGTCTCAAAAAAAAAAAAAAAAAAAAAAAAAAAAAGAGTCTGGGAATTAAAGCCTCAGTGGTCAAGCACTTGCCTAGCATGTATGAGGCCCTAAGTTCAATTCCCAGCACCAAGGGGAGAGGTAGGGGAAGGGAACCACTCTGGCCTCTATAAATGGTGAGTGAAAACGAGTGCAGAATGAACCAGGGACTTGAAGAGCAGGACGGTCAGACTCAGAGCCATGGTAGGAGAAAAGCCCTTCAGAGAGGTATTTATGAGGTAGATAATCCAATTAGATGGGCTGAGAAAAAAGGACTTTTAGTCTATACCCTGATAGTTGATAGTGTAGTCCTCTAAAATACTAGATTGAACAATAGGTGTAAAGAGAGGCTAGAGATCCAGTCCCTTTTGTCAAAAGTGAAGTTTGTAGTGAGGCAAGGGCTTGGAGCCAGGAGGGTTTGTGTGTTCCATTTCCACTTCTTCCTACCTCTATGACTATGGACAGGTCATGGAGGCTATGAGCCTTAATTTCCTCTCTGAGGTCAAAGCATTGTTAGATAGGTGTAGCCCAGAGTGTGGCATGTTGTAGGCACTCAGAAGTAAGGCCGTCATTACAGAGGACAGAGATTGTGCAGAGATTGTGCTCTGTCAGCTTTGCAGCTCCAGGCCTTGCACACAGAAATGTTCAGTAAATATTTGAAGGTACATATGCACCAATAGAACTGTGAACCAAAGCTCTTATGAGCTACAATTATGTGCCAGTACCGCTCCAGATTGGCCACCTGAACATACTTGAGAGTGCCGCTTGACTAAAGGAGTCATACTTAGGAACAGGTGAATAGGCTAAGCTTTCCTGAAACCAAATAAGGACTCTTACCCTTATTTCTATGAGGATGGCTAGGAAGACTCTGTTGGCTTAGGAGGTGACCTATAAGCCAGCTTTGTTCCATGATTCCTAAATCACGTTTCTGGGTATTTGGGGACCAGAGTGTCCTAACAAAAGAGAAGGTTTCATTCATTTCCTTCTGATATATGCTGTAAAGCCAAAGAAGCCAGTAGAATTCACTTGAATCTCTTACCACTGACCACCTGTCTCCCCCGGTGCAGGAGTTTGACCCTGAAGAGTTCTACCACCTGTTGGAAGCAGCTGAGGGTCATGCCAAAGAAGGACATGGAATTAAATGTGACATTCCCCGCTATATTGTCAGCCAGCTGGGCCTCACACGGGATCCTCTAGAGGGTGAGCATGCTGTCTAGTGGCTATAAAGAAGAGATTTAGACTGGACATGAACATGACATGGCCTCAAGGAGTCTCAGGACTATGAAAGGTGCCTTTTAATCTCTGTAATTAAACAGTCTTCCCTTTGGAGTCACTGTTCATTTCTGCCTGCTATGTCCCAATCTGGATTGCCTTGGGCCCAGCTGGGTTGGATTTGTAGCCTAGTCTGTAGTTGTTCTGCCCCCTCTTGCCTGCTTCCCTGCCCCATCAAACAAGGCAGTCTTGGCCAGCAGGATGTGTACTAGAAGCCTACCCTTAGCCCATGTTGCCCCAAAAATGTCCCAAGTTTGAGAGAAGCTTTTTTAGACTCTGCCAGGCCTTGTGAATGGCACTTGGCTTATTTATGATCTAAATCTATGCTACAGAGAGGATAGAGCCACAGGACTGGGTTTGCATTCCAGGCTGGTACAGAAAGTATTAATGCTAACCCCACATGTATTTGTTGTGTCACTTGAGGGTATTGCTGAAATGTCTGACACTGCCATGCAGTTTTCTCTGGTACCTTTTCTATGTTTCCAGAAATGGCCCAGTTGAGCAGCTATGACAGTCCTGATACTCCAGAGACAGATGATTCAATTGAGGTAAAGATCCTGAGCTCCTGTCCTAATCCTGGAAACAGTTCTGTGTTCTGTTGAAACCCTAAAAAATTGCTTTTAGAGAATATCTAAAGGAGGGGTGGGGAATTTTCGGTGGCTGCAGACACTGAGGAGTTGTGTGGTTCCTGGGGAAGAATGGGCAGGAGCTGCAGCAGGACTGAGCTGGTACTGGGGCACACCAAGCATATGTGCTCTGAGAAGCATACCTATTTCCTTCCTTTTCCTTTGTCTCCAAGGGTCGTGGGGCATCTCTGCCATCTAAAAAGACACCCTCAGAAGAGGATTTTGAAACCATTAAGCTCATCAGCAACGGCGCCTATGGGTAAAGGCTTGGGTCAGATTGTGGCCAGGACTAGAGCTAAATCAGCCCTTGGTCTCTTCCTCCTAGAAGTGTGTAATACCCAACCTTCTGGGCAAAAGATGCTGTAAGGTTTACCCTCTCCCTCCTTGAAGTCTCCTGGAAAGTCAGGAGTTTAGTTTCTTCTGGCATTTGAACATTGATCCTTTGCCCGGGCAAGATTCCTACCTGTCTTGATAGCACTCTTCCATTGAGCTCTGGAAACATTGAGCTGGGTCCTTAGGACCTGGTCCGCCAGGAAATTAAAGAGTTAATTGGGCCAGACAGCTTTATTCTTCTTACTAGGCACACCTCCAGTCCCTTGTTCTTTGCACTTATGTGGGGTTAGCAATCAGTTTGGGTGATTGAATATACAATTCAGGTACTGAGAGCCCATGGGTGTTGGGCTGGGCTGGCTGTCTTTCCCAGGGCTGTATTTCTGGTGCGACACAAGTCCACCCGGCAGCGCTTTGCTATGAAGAAGATCAACAAGCAGAACCTGATCCTACGGAACCAGATCCAGCAGGCATTTGTGGAGCGTGACATACTGACTTTTGCTGAGAACCCCTTTGTGGTCAGCATGTTCTGCTCCTTTGAGACCAAGCGTCACTTATGCATGGTGATGGAATATGTTGAAGGTACTGGGGAAGATGACCTGGTGTGGAAGTCAGAGTACAGTCTAAGACTTAGGCCTAAATGGGACCAGCAGCTTTATACAGGAGTGAACTTTTAGGACCCACCTTCCAAGACCTTTTTGTCATTGATTTCTACTTAGGATCTGAGACTATTTGGCCACATTGAACACAAAGCTGCACAGTGAGCACAGTGCTTCACCATGAGGCTGCCCATGTCAGGTTCAGTGAGAGGTACTCTGGGACAGGATGTTGCAGCCAGCAGCTGTATAGTCTCTTCCCCCAAAGTCTGCACACTCTCTGTTGCTGTTATCAGACAGGAGTAAAGGCTTAGGTAGCGGCCACAAAAGCCCAAGGTGGAGGACTGGGAAGACTACATGTGGGTCCTCAGAAGACAGGGAATTCATTGCTCTGGCTGATGACTTATGACTAGGCCATCCCTAAAGCCACTCAAAGTGCTCTAGGAATGGACTAAAGAACAACATGGGGTAGAGCTCGAGAGAGGGGCAGCAGCTTAGCAGTAGTTATCCTCTGACCTCCTCACTGTATATACAGCTCCCAAAGATATTTTCTCTAAGGCTTAAAGTTGAAGCTGAACAAAACCATGCTTTTAATTTAGTGAATATTTGCTGGGAGTTTGCATGTTATTTTACTCAGAAATGAACAAAAAAAGAAAGTAAACAAATATTAGTTTTAGCCAGATATGTTTGCTGTATATAGTATTCCCATCCTAAAACAACTTAGTCTCATCCCAAGTCATCATGTAGGCATGAAGGTCAGGATTCCTTCTTTCTATGATCTAAATGATGGTCTTGGTAGCCACTGGCAAATTCATCTCCTGCTCCTGTCATCCATCTCTCACCTATACTAGCAGTACAAGGGCTGGAATCAAGGGTACTCTATGAGGCTGTCCTCTTTAGGACTACAAAACCTGAGAACTGGCTAGAGAGGGTGTTCAATCCTTCTCTCATAGTAACCTGGGCTTATTACAGGGGGAGACTGTGCCACTCTGCTGAAGAACATTGGGGCCCTGCCTGTGGACATGGTTCGGCTGTATTTTGCAGAAACCGTACTGGCCTTGGAATACTTACACAACTATGGCATCGTGCACCGTGACCTCAAGCCTGACAAGTATGCCCATTTTGTAGATCCACTGTCCAGGTCTCTCTGTTGAGTCTCTTAATAAGTGGAACAAATGCAATGTGTTTGGATTCATCTGAGAATGGCCGCTAGGAAACAGAAACAAAGCACAACAAAAGAATGAGCACATTTAATAAATGGCTGAAGAGTGTCCTGACATTTACTGACACCTAATTTACTGACACCTACTCTATGGCAAACACTATATTTTGTGTTTTAAATATAGCTTTCAGTGTGTTGAGCTATATGAACAGGGTACTTCTCCAAGGGCACTAGTCTGATGGAAAAAGGTGGGAGGGGCTTTCTAAAGCAGGGAGCAGGATATGCAAAGATATGTAGATGAGGAACTACACACAGTACTGGATGGCTGCAGCTTAAGTGATAGTTGGCCAAGATAGCAAGAGGAGAAGCAGGGATAGCTCATTGAAAGGGCCATTTAAGTTTGGACTTTCTTTAAAGGAGCCTCAAGAGTATTTATAAAGGGCCTATACACAAAGAAAGGATAGAATGATATTATACCCTGATCTTAAGTCTTAGAAAGATCACTCCACAGAGTACCAGAAGAAAGAGACCATGAGACCACTTCAGGAGACCAGGCCAACGACAGTGCCTGCTCTAAACCAGAGGGACAGGGTGAAGAAAAGAAGGAATATTTATAGAGAAATAAAAATAAATAAAAGCAGCCAGGTGTGGTGGCACACACCTTTAATCCCAGCACTTAGGAGGCAGAGGCAGGTGGGTCTTTATGAGTTCAAGGCCATCTGGGGCTACAGAGAGGCCCTGTCTCAAAAAGATTTAAAAAAAAAAAAAGGAAGGAAGGCAGGCAGGCATTCTTTCTCATGTTCCTCCTCTAAAATGAGAATAATAACACATGTGTTTTCTGTGTGCATTACTTTTGAAGACCTTTCAGAAAGCTGGGGTTTTTTTGTTTGTTTTTTTCTTTTTTTAAACAAGTTTAAATCTTGGGTGTGGGAGAGATGACTCAGCAGTTAAAATCACTGGCTGCTCTTGGCAGGGGAACTGAGTTGGTTCCCACCACTCACATGGCAGCTAACAACTGTTTGTAACTCCAGTTCCAGGGGATCTGACACCCTCTCTGGTCTCCACAGACATTGCATGCATTAGTGCACTTGTGTACATACAGGCAAAACACGTAATACATACACACAAACAAACATAAACTAAGTAAACAAGTTCTGGCAAGTTTTATTGAAAATCTTTTATGGTTTACTTTTCACTGGTCTCTTTTGACATGCTTCTAATAATACCCAAATCATCTGGATCAATAAGAGTCAGCTTGCACACTCTGTAGTATTTTCTGCGCACTGTGCCCTGTTCAATATTACTGCCACTGTAGTGATGGACACCAGTTTTGTCTAACACAACACAGTGTATTCTATTTCCTATTGTCTCAGAGCTGGGCAGTCATTAGCAAGGATGACCAATTTGGCTTTGCCCTGTCTGCTTATCTTCAGAGTCTGCCTGTACCCCAGCACGTACTTTCCTCTTTATTTATTATTTTTATTTTATGTGTATATGTATAACCTGCATGTAGGTAGGTACACCCGTGTCATGCAATGCCTGCAGAGGTCAGAAGAGGACATCAAGTCCCCTGGAACTGGAGTTACATACAGTTGTTAGCCACTATGTGGGTGCTGGAAATCAAACCCAGGTCATCAGCAAGAGCAGCCAGTGCTCTAACTGCTGAGCCATATCTCCAGCTCCATACTTTCCTCTTTTATAAAAAATACGTTTTATTATTTTTATTGTATGTGTATGAGTATATTGTCTGTATGCATGTAAGTGTACCCATATCATGCATTGCCCACAGAGGTCAGAAGAGGGCATTGGGTCCTCTGGAACTGGAGTTACAGATAGTTGTTAGCCACCATGTGGGTGCTGGGAATCGAACCTGGGTCCTCTGAGAGAGCAGCCAGTGCTCTTGACCACCGAGCCATCTCTCCAGCCCCTACTTTCTTCTTTTCAAAACAAGTTGGAGCCTATAATTCATCGTTACCTTCAGAAATTTTTCATATTTTCAGCCACCATTTTCCTGCCTTGGGTGTAGGCAGCCCCCAACCAAGAGCAACCACCCAACAAGAAAGGGGAACAAGAAAGAAGCTCCCACAATGCAAAATTCTTCAAGGCAGAGACTTAGTTTTGGTTTGGGGAGAAACTAGGGCCAAGGTCTCACATATGCTAGTGATAGCTTGGGACTGGTATAGGGCGATCAGCTTCTAGTAGAAACTAGCTTTGCTATTAGGCAGACCTGAGTTCAGAATGCCACTCATGACTCATCTGAATCAGTTTGCTAATTAAATTTCTCTGAGTCTCATATTCCTCCTTTCTGAAGTGAAAATAACACATTTGCTGTATTAGGTTCTCTAGAAACTAGCCCCATTTTTTGTTTTCTGTGTTTTCCCCTTTGCTGTGTATCAAACCCAAAGCTTTATGCATGCTAGGGAGGTGAGGTGATTTACTAGTTCCAGAATAGTTTTAAAGCATTTATCACATAACTCAGTGAGTGGTAAAGACTTGTTTCTTGCTGAGATGATGAACCAGTTCATTTAGGAAACTTCACTGTTTTGGACAGTTTTGGTTTATGATCCCTGGGCAATTGAAGAAGTCAGAGCCAGAGATAATGATTTAATAATCATTAGAATAAAAGAATAAAGCCTTTGGCATAAAATCAAATAGCTTAGGCAAAATATATAAAGGGATCTGATTTCTAGTTTCTGCCTCCAACCTTCCTAAGACATCTAAGGACATGGGAAAAGATATGTGTCTGTTTCCCCTTCCCTGAATTGGGTATTGTAACCCACCCAGGTGAGACAACAACCCTAGGTAGGACAAGCTGACCATAACTCTAGAAGAAAGACTTCCTCTACAATTACCTGCCCCAAGTACAGAATACAGACGAAACAACCAAGAGAAGTGGAGTTGCAAGCATGGGTAGAAGGCTGTACTCACAGAACTGGATCTGCTTTACTCACAGCTGTGTGCTCCCTGTATGTGTCCCATGGTACCATGTAAAGGCCTGTAGGAAAATTTGGTAAATACTAAAATAAGTACTTGTGGAAACCAGGAAATAACTCCATGATTTTATTTCTATGGTCTTCTAGCCTCCTGATTACATCCATGGGGCACATTAAACTCACTGATTTTGGACTTTCTAAGATTGGCCTCATGAGTTTGACAACCAACCTATATGAGGGCCACATTGAAAAGGATGCCCGGGAGTTCCTAGATAAGCAGGTAAGAAAACATGAGGAAGACCTTGGAGTTGAATTCCAGGCCTCAGAATAAGGCCTTGAAGCCATATGCATATTAAGGCTGAGTGTTAAGACAGGAACTTACCTTTTTTACCTTTTAGTTCCAGGGAGGCATTAAAACAGCACATTTGAAAAATAGGATGAACCATGAGAATCATGTGGATACAAAATCTTTCTCAGAGTTGGGATAAAATAGGTTGTGTAACTATTGATGCAGAATTTCATGTGAGATCAGTCCTGAACCTTCATCCTGAGTCAAGGGAAAGGCTCTTGTGGGGCCTGTTATTCTCGGAGCACAGCTCCAAGCTCCACTGGGCTGTGTCCCAGTTTCTGGAGAGTAGCCCCTACATGTTCCCTGACTTGATATTTCAGGTTGTGATGTTCACATGTCCCTGTTATAGTGTTATAGTCAGATGACTGTTAGGTTCTGTTTCTTGGAAGACTAAAGGGTAGAGGCCAATTTTAGGACCAGATGCCAGAAGAGAGTATTGAGAATTCATGGAGTGGTGATTTTAGGCTAGAATTAGACATTTTGGTTAATTAGGAAATACAGAAAACTTGCTGAACAAAAATTCCAACTCTAGTTCCCTGGGATTCCTGTTTCTCTTGTTTATTAATTAAGGTAAGCTGCCTCTTCATTCAGAGATTTTTTCTGCTCTAGCAATAGGAACATTCCTCCAGCCATCATGCCAGTGAGCTGCCTCAGCATACTGAGCCAGCCTGGTTTCTCTGTGCTCAGGTATGCGGGACCCCGGAATATATAGCACCTGAGGTGATCCTGCGTCAGGGATATGGGAAACCAGTGGACTGGTGGGCCATGGGCATAATCCTGTATGAGTTCCTGGTGGGTTGCGTCCCTTTCTTTGGAGACACTCCGGAGGAGCTCTTTGGGCAAGTGATCAGTGGTAGGTACTATCACCCTGGACCAGCGTGGAGTCAGTGTTGATCCAAAAATACGCTATATGCATGCACCTGTGAGGCTCTTGAGCTCTTTTTTTCCAAATTTGAGTGTGTGTGCCTGGCAGACTTTCTTCTTTTGCCCACGTGCACTGTGTCCTCTGGGGCTTTCTCTGTGTTCATGTAGCACTTACATGTTCCTAATGTTCCTGTGTTGTGTATGTGTTTATCTGTGTGAGTTTTGTATTTAGAGTATAATGGCAGGAACGGGGAGTCACCATTTTCCAATGCCTACACAGGATCAAGGAGCAAGCCATGTTCTAGGGACAGTGAGAGACCCCTAGGAGGGGAGGAACTTCTATAGAACCTTAGAAACTGGGGTCCCAGACAAGGGTTTTAGGAGCTCCAGGCCTTTATTCTTCCTTGTACTATCCTAGTATCTTTTTCTGTGTCTTCCTGACTCTACCCACAAATTCTCTTCTCTCTTTCTCACCCATGATGACTTCAGATGAGATTGTATGGCCTGACGGTGACGATGCACTGCCCCCAGATGCCCAGGACCTCACCTCCAAACTGCTCCACCAGAACCCACTGGAGAGACTGGGCACAAGTAAGTTGGACCCTACCTACTGCTCCCTCACCACTCGGAAAGGGATTATGGAGGCTGAGTCTTGGTACATCAAGGTTTAGTGGGCAGTCCCCTCTGGATCCTAACTCTTCTGTTACTGTAGGCAAAAAAAAAGAGTGCTTGAGCTGAGACTTCCAGTCTACTTTCTCAGGGCCTAGCTTCTCACTTGACTTGCCGACTATACTCCATGTAGCTAATCCCCTTGCCCACTCCTTGCCTGCAGGTAGTGCCTATGAAGTGAAGCAGCACCCATTCTTCATGGGTCTGGACTGGACAGGACTTCTTCGCCAGAAGGCTGAATTTATTCCTCAACTGGAGTCAGAGGATGATACCAGCTACTTTGACAGTAAGGCCACTGATGGGGTGACTTGGGGCATGCACCCTTTTACCCAGAAATGCCTATGTATCCCTGGATTGGGAGCAACTTCTCAGGGCCCTGCTGAAGTCTGATGGAGTCTCAAAGATGCCACCAGCAGGGGCTCTGAAGAGAATTGTCCTGTGTGTCTGGTCCAGCCCGTTCAGAGCGATACCACCATGTGGACTCAGAGGATGAAGAGGAAGTGAGTGAAGATGGCTGCCTTGAGATCCGCCAATTTTCTTCCTGCTCTCCAAGGTTCAGCAAGGTGTGACTAAGGAGACCTAAGCTAGAGGATTGAGAGAAAAGGACCTGTCAAGGGATACACCTGGGGCAAGCTTAGGGAGTATTGATAGGATAGGCTCACTTCCAGAAAAGATAAAGAATTGGGGCTGCATACAGCAGCCACTTCTAGGATCATCCCACTCCTCACATAATAGATGCCAGGGTCAGAGCAATTGTTCTTCAAATACACAACTAGGATGTGGAAGGGCAAGGCAGAAGGACTCCTTCAAACCCCTGAGTGTCAAATACCAAGGATGCCCTTTGTCCCTTGGGAAGTATAGCTATCAGAACTGTCCCATTTGTCTCCCATGCCAATAGGTGTAGCTGTCCCATGTGTCCCCTGTGCCCATAGGTTTATAGTAGCATGGAGCGCCTTTCCCTGCTTGAGGAACGCCAGACACCACCCCCAACCAAGCGCAGCCTGAGCGAAGAGAAGGAAGATCGCTCAGATGGCCTGGCAGGGCTGAAAGGCCGAGCCTGCAGTTGGGTGATTGGCTCCCCTGAGATGTGAGCACCCAGGGCTCACCAGGGTGGGCAGCACAGCTATCTCTCAGTTATCACATCATGAAAGAAATTAAGATGGGAGCGGGGGGCTGGGGGTGGTGAAAGCTGAAAAGTTCTCTGGTCCTTGTAATTGTGGGTCCCTGAGGAAGCCTCAGCAGAAAGCAGGAGAGGCAGACTACATGGGTCATCTCACCCCAGTCTCTCTTCTCACAGATTACGGAAGCGGCTATCTGTGTCTGAGTCGTCTCACACAGAGAGTGACTCAAGCCCTCCAATGACTGTGCGACACCGTTGTTCAGGCCTCCTCGATGTGCCTCATCTTGAGGAGGCTGGTAGTACTCCTAGGAGGCAACAGCAGGAAGGTATATGGGTCCTGGCACCCCCATTTGGAGAAGGGGCATCTGGGCCTATCCCTGAACGGCCTGTGGAGCACCAGCTGAAGCTGGATGAGGAGCCTCTTGACCAAAGCAGTAGTTCCTGTCCAGGTGTGGCCCAGTGGATGGTGGAAGGCTTAGGTTGGAGAATACTGCAAGGAGGGAGGCTTAGATGTATTGCAGATCTTATTATTTACTTGTACCCACAGCCATGGAGACCCGAGGCCATGGGACCTCACAGCTGATTGAAGAAGCCACAGCCACAGCCAAAGCCATCAGCGACCTGGCTGTGCGTAGGGCCCGTCACCGCCTACTCTCTGGGGACTCTGTAGAGAAGCGTACCACTCGTCCTGTCAACAAAGTGATCAAGTCTGCCTCAGCTACAGCCCTTTCCCTCCTCATTCCTTCAGGTGAGGCCACTGGGGAACTAAGATCAAATTCATAGTAAGGACATTGGAGACTATGGGTCTGCAGAAGGAGTCTCTGTGTGGCAGGTGTGTATGTGTGTATGAGCAAGTATCTGAGAGACTTTCTCCTTACTATGCAAGTGGCGATCTCCGAAGATATGTGTTGATGTCTGTGTATGTACTTGTGCCTATGTGTGTACCAGAGGTAAGAATTATGGTGATAAAATAAGTGTAAGCTTTGAGGCAAGAGCTAATATTCAGATCTCTATTGCTAAAGGATATTGACCTTGAAAAACTTGTCTAGTTTTTTTAAGCCTTAAGTTCTTCAACAAAAACGTGGATTTGGGGGCTAGAGAGATGTCTCAGCAGTTAAGAGCACTATCTGCTCTTGCAGAGGATCTGGGATCAGTTCCTAGCACCTACATGGTGATTCACAACCATCCTTAACTCCAGTTCCAGGGGATCTGACACCCTCTTTTGACTTCCACATGCATTGCATATAGAAGTGCACCTACATATATGCAGACAAAACACTCATAGACATAAAAGTAAACTTGCTAGACCTTAACATATATGACAGCATACATGAAATCCAGCTGGCAGGCCTTGGGGGATTGCAGATAGGGAGGGGGTCTACATAAAATCAAAATGTATGAAATGCATAAAAATTCAATTAAAAATTTTAAAAATAATAAAAATAAATAAAATTATTTTAAAATAATGGATATTGGGGCTGGAGATATGGCTTGGTGGTTAAGAACATTTACTGCTCTTACTGAAGACCAGTTTCCGTTCCCAGCACTCACAATCAGGTGGCTCACAGCCAATTGTAACTCCAGTTCCATGGGATCTAGTACCTTCTGGACTTAGCAAGCACCTGCACAGACACGGTGCACATAAACTCATGCAGGCAAAACACTTATATATGTAAAAATAAATAAGGCCTCCAATAATTAGGAGGCAGAGGCAGGTAGAGCTCTGTGAGTTTGAGACCAACCTAATCTACATGGTTCCAGGTCAGCTAGGGCTACATAATGAGACCCTGTCTCAAAAGGATATCTGTTTTTTAAATGTGAATATTAATAGTGGCTAGCTCACAGGATAATCATGACATTTAAATGCATATGAAGTGTTAATATAGTCCCTGATACATAAGTGCTACCTACCATTCCCTGTCTCCTGTACTCCAATCTGGAACCTGAACAGCTCTGAGCAGATATGGGGGCTTTATGGATCAAGGTCTGTGGGAAAGCTGCACCTGAGTCCTATCCCTTCTGTGGCTATAGCTGGACTGGGATCAACAGACTAAATAGGACTTCGAGCATGGCCAAGCCAGGGCCTCTGATCTCTAAGTCCTCATTTCTCCTACAGAATACCACACCTGCTCACCATTGGCCAGCCCCATGTCCCCGCACTCCCAGTCATCTAATCCGTCATCCAGGGACTCTTCTCCAAGCAGGGACTTCTTGCCAGCCCTTGGCAGCCTGAGGCCTCCCATCATCATCCACCGAGCTGGCAAGAAGTATGGCTTCACCCTGAGGGCCATTCGAGTCTACTTGGGTGACTCAGATGTCTACACTGTGCACCACATGGTGTGGGTATGTCTGGCCAGCCAGAGCTGTTGTCCTCCAGTTTTGTCACATCCACCTTCCCCATACTAGAGCCTATCTGCCTTTCTTTCACTGCCTACACTACTCACAAAAGTCAAAGGGTGGTGGTAAGGGGTCACAGCTTAATGAATGGAACCAGGCTCCAAATTAAAGACTCTTCTCTTTCTGAGGCAGCATGTGGAGGATGGTGGTCCAGCCAGTGAGGCAGGGCTTCGTCAGGGTGACCTCATCACCCATGTCAACGGTGAACCTGTGCATGGGCTGGTACACACAGAGGTGGTGGAGCTGGTCCTGAAGGTTAGTACTGTGAGTGCTGCCTGCTGTGATATATCTATGGCCCTACACTTGTGAGGCTGGACTGGCCGTAGGGCAGTGGGAGAGTACATTTACATATGGGATTGAGGACAGATATAGGGACTTTCAGAAGATGAGTGTGGCATAAAAGATTTTCTTCAGAAGGTATTACCCTTGTTGGACAAAACCCAGGGACCCTGCTGAACTGTAAGTAGGACTGATGAGCAGGACAAGGGACGTGCTGCTCTGTTGTCCCACTCCTAAATCACTCTGAGGTACCACTTGGAAACAGTTTCTAACCTAAGAGGAAAATAGCACTTGTTAGACGTGTATGTTGGTACAAGAGTGAAGCTGGAGCTGTGGTGCAGCCATGCCAAAAAAGGGGTGGGGGATGGGTTATAGCCATCGCCAAGTTTTCATGCTTTGCTCTGCTGTGCTCCCCAGAGTGGAAACAAGGTGTCTATTTCAACAACTCCCTTGGAGAACACATCCATTAAAGTAGGGCCAGCTCGGAAAGGCAGCTACAAAGCCAAGATGGCCCGAAGGAGCAAGCGGAACCGGGGCAAAGATGGACAAGAAAGGTGAACCAATAATCCAGAGGGCTGCCCTGAGAACCTGGGGGCTCCCATGTGCTGAGGACTTGGTCAGTGGGCCTAGAGTTTACCGTGCCCTATAGACCAGTTCAACCTTGCCCTTGTCTCTACAGTAGAAAAAGAAGCTCCCTGTTCCGGAAGATCACCAAGCAGGCCTCTTTGCTGCACACCAGCCGCAGCCTTTCTTCCCTCAACCGCTCCTTGTCATCTGGGGAGAGTGGGTCAGGCTCTCCTACCCACAGCCACAGTCTTTCTCCCCGATCTCCCCCTCAGGGCTACCGGGTAGCCCCTGATGCGATGCATTCAGGTACGGAGAGTTCTTGCAGATCAGAAACCAGCCCCTGGGGCTGGGGGGAACTGGGTCCTCTGTTTCCCAAAAGCCCCACTCTAAATCTTCAGCCCACCCCTGAAGATCCAGCAGTCTCAGGAGGAACTGATAGGATGAGTTTGTGCAGTCTGGGCTCGAGTCTACCAATGGTGTAAAATTGACAGTTTGGGATAATCTAAGCCTAAACCCTGCCCTGCCACCCAGTCACTTCTAATAGCCAACACTGATGTGCTGTTTTCTGTCTCTCTGTCCGTCTCTCCATTTGTCCAAAGTGGGAGGGAATTCATCACAGAGCAGCTCTCCTAGCTCCAGCGTGCCTAGTTCCCCGGCTGGCTCTGGACACACACGGCCCAGCTCACTACATGGTCTAGCACCCAAGCTCCAACGCCAGTACCGCTCTCCACGACGCAAGTCAGCAGGCAGTATCCCACTGTCACCATTGGCGCACACCCCTTCACCACCTCCGGCAGCAACTTCACCTCAGCGTTCGCCATCACCCCTATCTGGCCACGGAGCCCATGCCTTTCCCACCAAACTTCACATGTCTCCTCCACTAGGCAGGCAACTCTCACGGCCCAAGAGTGCAGAGCCACCCCGCTCACCCCTACTTAAGAGGGTGCAGTCAGCTGAGAAACTGGCAGCTGCACTGACAGCTTCTGAGAAGAAGCTAACCCCTTCTCGTAAGCATAGTCTTGACCTGCCCCATGGAGAAAAGAAGGAACTGCCACCTAGAGAAGCCGGCCCTCTGGAGGTAGTTGGAACCAGAGGTGTGCTATCTGGGAAAGGGCCACTGCCAGGAAAAGGGGTACTGCAGCCTGCCCCTTCACGGGCCCTAGGAACCCTCCGGCAGGACCGAGCTGAGCGACGAGAGTCACTGCAAAAACAAGAAGCCATCCGGGAAGTAAACTCCTCAGAAGATGACACTGATGAGGAACCTGAGAACAGCCAGGGTGGACAGGAGCCAAGATTGGTACCCCATCTAGAAGCAGGCCAGATTCAACCCCCTAAAGGTGCAGGAGGGGGTGGGGAAGAAGATACTTTCTTGCCTAGGAACCTAAAGAACCAGGGTCCAGTACTCCCAGGCCTATTAACAGGGGTCTTACTGGGTTCTCCCCGAATAGAAATTCCTGGCTTCTCCCAGATAAGACTCGGGAGTCCACAAGTCTTTGAGGAGGTTACCAACTCCTCTTTACGAGCCCCCAGCCTGAGTAGGTGTGGACCCACAAGCCCCATTCCCCCTGAAGGCTGCTGGAAGGCCCAGCATCTGCAAACACAGGCACTAGCAGCACTTTGTCCCACCTCTTCTGAACTTAAACCCACCCATTGCTCTGCTGTCACCTCTACTTCTGGAAAGCCAGGGACATGGTCCTGGAAATTCCTTATTGAAGGCCCAGACAGGGCATTCCCAAACAGGAAGATCACAGAGACAGGTGAACCAGCCAACCCCCAGGATTTGGAAACCACAGTTGTAACCCTTCCTAAGAACCTGTCTCCCGAGCAGGAGGAAAAATCACAGCCACCCAGTGCCCCTAGGCTGGCGCATCCACTTTGTGAGCTCCCCAGCCAAAGCTGGCTTTGGGGGTCTGCACATGCACAAATAGAGAAAGGGGAGCCAGCCCTGAGCATCACCAAAGTGCCTGATGCCTCAGGTGACAGGAGGCAGGACATTCCATGCAGAACCTACCCCCTCACCCAAGAAACTGGGCCCAGTCTGCTCTGGAGAAGCCAAGAAGCAGGAGGCCAACAAAAGCATCAAGAATTGGCATTGGTATCAGATGAGCTTTTAAAGCAAACATAGCAGTTGTTTGCCTTTCTTGCACTCAGACCTGTGTAATACACCCTCCTAGAAACCATCTTTGTTTGCTTCTTTCCATTGGTCGTCACATACAAGTCTAAGTCTAGGTCCTCTGTTGCTGCTGGGAATAGATTTGTGATTTACTCTCTGGGGAAGAAAACTTAATCCAGCTTCATTGCTCAGAGATCATGAAATATCCAAATTCAGACATGAATGCAAGGTGCAAGGTTGTGGTTTCCTGGGTATAAAGGAGTGGGGGGTGTCTTAGGAAAAGAATGCCCCAAATGTAGCATATACAATATACCTGGTATGTTCAGGGAACCCAAAATAATTCAGAGTAGAACTGGGTCTGGCAATTTAAGCAATGGCCAAAGCTAATGGTCCTTCAGCACTCTGTGTACAAGTAGAGAAAAGGGAACTAGCCCTGAGACTGTGTAAGCAATGAGAACACCAAAGAAAGACTTGTGGCAACTAATAGTCTGCTTGGTAGGTAAGGAAACTTGAGCTCTACTGCCCAAAGGATTAAAACCCATTCCTCTGCCTCCAGAAACCCTTCCTTTATCTTCTACCTTGGAGTGTGCCTTAGCCAGTAAATGAGAAGAGGTACAAGGGAGTGATGAGTTTATCTTTGCATATATTTACTTTGAGTATTAATGTGGCATTCAGAAGGTAACAAGATACCTGGAAATGAGAGCCAATGATGTATCAACAGTGACATCCTCAGGCAAGGAAAACTCAAGCAGCAACCAGTAGTTGGGAAGTGGAACTCAGGAGTAGAATGACTGTTTAACCTGAAAAAAAGGTTCAGAGTTCAGTCTCGAGTTGCACACAACACACAAAATCCAGGAGAGAATCACAAGATCAAAGAGAGGAGGAAATAGCTTCAAAATAGAAGCGATTATGACTTGACAAACTGATGAAAGGTCAGTTGAGGTGAAAACAGAATTACCTATTTAGTAATGGGCCCTTAATGTCTGTACCCAGTGAGCCCTTCCTGGTTGTTGTCAGGTGGGTCACTGGAAATGAATACTTCTGTGAGCAGCCCTTAATGACAACACAACTGTACTCGGTGGGTAGGTTTGGACTGGGAGGGCAAGATATACATTGGACCAAGATACAAGTGGAGCTAGCATCACAGGGCAGGCTTGGTGGAGTGTCTGTTGTAAGTCTTGCTCTGGTAGTTACGCTATCAGTCCCATCATCTAATGCTTACACCTGACAGAGACCTGGAGACTAAAAAGTACCTGTGGTCTACTGCAGCTCTGTTATCCTACATGGAGAAAGCAGTGGCCACCAGAGGGCGGGCTCTGCCATTATGGGGACATTTGGTCCGCTTTATTAGCAGCAGAACCTGGGCTGCTGCACTGGACACTGAAAAGACAGGTCACAGGTTACTTGTTGGAAGATCATGGGAAGATGGCTGAGAAGGAGGCGATTGTCTCACATGTCAGAGTCTGGTCAGAAACACCATAGCAGAGGAGGTGTGGGAAGAAGGAAACACATCTTACTGTTTGATGGGAACAGTCATCCTAGAAGGTTGGAAGTAAGAATGGGAGGAAGCACAGACACCAAGTATCTTGTGATGCGAATGCACAGAGCCGCCAATCCCAAGTACGAGGGTACTCCCTTTAGAAACACTGCTGAGTGTGAGGGATTTCTGAAAGGCAATTTTAGGTAAGTGATACCAGTTTGATTTTATTCTGACTATACCCCAGGCTGTACTGTCAACAAGCTAGAGTGGTTCACATAGGACGTGTCAACAGTGAGAAACTATTGGGCTGTGAGATAAGGATTGCCCAGTAACACATGTAAGTGAAGTGAGAGACCCAGAAGACCCACAACACTGGAATTGAGTGGACAGAACCAGTAAAAGAAGTTGAAGTATGGAATGAGATCCTGTCATAATCAGAAGCTAGACTGTTTTGACAGGTGTTGTGCTGTGGTACATGTCTATAATCCCAGCCACTTGGGCGGGAGGGGGAGGAAAGGGCACTTGAGCCCTGGAGTTAAGAGCCAGCCTAAGAAAACGAAACAAAATAATTTTTTTTCGTGCCGGACGAGGTGGCACACGTCTTTAATCCCAGCACTCAGGAGGCAGGGGCAGGCGGATCTCTGTGAGTTCAAGGCCAGCCTGGTCTACATACATAGTGAGTTCCAGGACAGCTGGGGCTACAGGGAGACCCTGTCTCAAAAAGAAAAAAAAAAAAAAGATCTGGGGCTGGAGAGATGGCTTGGTGGTGAAGAACACTGTTACTGCAGAAGACCCAGGTTCGATTCCCAGCACCCACATGGCAGCTAACAACTGTCTGTAACTCCAGTTCCAGGGGATCCAACAGCCTCTTCTGCCCTCCAAGGGCATCGTAGGACAGCTGGGGCTACAGGGAGACCCTGTCTCAAAAAGACAAAAAAATTTTTTTTCATGTGATTCACCCTAAGAACAAAGTTATGTGTTTTATCTAGATTGTTGTAATTTTGAAGAGAACTCTGCTTATCACGAAGGATTTGAGGGGAAGCAAGAAGGCAGGCCTTTTATTAGGGCTGTACAGGTCGTGAGCAGTGAAGCTGGAGGAGTGTTTTCATTGGTATTTAGAAGGTAAAATCAACATGGGTCATTGGAAGGTTTTATGTAGATATGAAACAAAAGGACTGTCGGTAATGAATATACTGGAGAGATGGCTCAGCAGTTAACGTCTTCCAGAGGACTCGGGTTCTATTCCCATCACCCACATGGCAGCTACCAATGGTTTGCAACTCCAGGTCCAGGGGATCAGACACTCTCTTCTGGCCTCTGCGAGGTTATTGCATGCACATGGTGCCCTTACATACAAAAATTCGAGTAATATAAAATATTTTTAGTTTATTGGGCTGAGAATACAGCTCAGTAGGAGAGTGCTTGCCTGGCACGCACGACGCTATGGGTCCAAAACTTAGTACTGCAAAACAGAAAAGAGCAAAAAAAAAAATGTTATAGCCAGGCGTAGTGGTGTACGCCTTTAATCCCAGCACTCAGAAGGCAGAGGCAGATGATCTTTATGAGATTGAGGCCAACCTGGTCTACATAGTTCCAGTCCAGCTGGGGCTATGGGAGACCCTGTTTTTTGTTTTTTGTTTAAAGAAAAAGTGAATACAATTCTAATATAACCAGTTGAATTGTTTCCATTCAGTGAAATATAAAACACAAGTGAATCAGGGCCAGGAGGTGGCCCTGCATTCAGTATACTAAATATACTAAATATGAGGTGCTTCACAATAGAAATCTGAGCAAGAGAAACGTAATTGGCCTAGAGATGAATTCAGGAATGTAGACAAAACTGTTAGGTCAAGAGGCATAAGGGAGGAGGAGGCTAGTGAACTCCAAGAGATAAAACCTGTCAGAGGTAACTAATAAAAGTTTTCCAGGAAGAAAAGTCAATAGCAATGGTCACTGAAAACTTCAAAGCTGGTAGTTTCAGGTAATGGTGGACCCTATACTAAAATGTGTCAGGTGAGGAAATACTGAGGCAGCTCTTGCTGTGAAGGGGAAAATAGTAAGAGGGTATGTAATTGATTTGAGGTTCAAGAGGTAGCATGAGGACACCCAGCCACTTTAAATGTCAAATGGGGATGATCCAGATGAGAAGTGAGTGAAAAGATATTTACAAGAGGTTCCAGAGGCGAGAGAAAATAAACCCAAAATACTTGTGGCATCGGTTGGAGGAGGTACCTTTTGTAATTTAACAGGAGTTACATGGACATAGACATGCTTATAGGTTTGGTGGTGGGAAGATAAGGTAATTGAGTGGGTCATGTATTTCTCTGTGAAATAAAATCTGAAATGCCTGCGTGACACTGGACATCCTAGTGACATCTAGCCAGCAGGCAGAGGTCAGAAGACAGGAGTGGGCAGGAGATAAAATTTTGAGTGTCTCAGGATTAAATTTCCACTGTTCACGTCAGTAGCAACAAGGGCACCTTGTGGTTAAGATATGGCAGGGAGAAAAGGCACAGGCAAGGTAATTTAGAACAGACTATTCCCCTGACCAGTGCATGTGGATAAAGCCTGAGAACTACAATGTCCTGTGTAATAATAAAGTTGCCATGTTGACTGATAATGTTCCTAACAGGACCCTCAACAAAGTGCCTTGGAGAATAACAGCAACCTGGGACATGAGGATAGACTATTAAGATTGAGCCCCTTTTTCCTTCCCCAAGAGTGGAATGAGAAAGTGCTTATTTGTGAACAGAAATACATCATGAGAACTAACAAACTACATGTATACATAGGATGAGTGTTGGGAAGGAGATGGCTCTCATTTTTTTTCACAATTAGTATAAGTCTCTGTGTCCTGTTTTGAGTGGATTACAGTGTTGGTTTCCTCTAACAGAAGGAAGAGAGCCTCTTGGTTTGGGACCACCCCAAGACTGGTCTTTTGGTGCTTAATAGAGACGGAGTTTCAATGGTTAGATGCTTTCTTACCTTGTTCCCTTCCATGCCCCAAGCTCACAGCCCTCCAATCCAAGAAGACAAAAAAAAAGTGTTTTACTGCAATGTCTTTATTGCATTATTGGAGCATGTTGGCCAGACTATCCCCATCTTGGGGAAGGTTTAAAAAAAAAAAAGCCCAACAGTATCTCACCTCACCTTCCCCACCCCCCACCCCTTCCCCACAACTGCACAGCAATGTCTGAACACATTCGGTGACAAAAACAATTTGTCAAAAGTGGTCTAGGAACTACATTGTGAATTGTCCCAACACAAGACACAGTTGGCTTCCTTGTATTTTTACATAAAACTACGTGAATTTTTTTTAATACACCAAAGACAACAAAAAAGGTTCTTCACAAGAAACACCAGGGCACCAAAGTTACATGCGAGGGTTTGTAAGGAAGCAAGGTTGTCACAAGTGGCTAGACCCAAAGCAAGACTGAGCAGCTGGCAGCAGAGGACCAGGCATGGACCGTCTGGTTTGAAGCCACTGAAACCCCACAGAGGCCTACTCTGAGGTCTTACCTGGTAGCATAGATCATCCCAGAAACCAGAAATTGCTCAGATGTAATTTTTTTAGCTCAGGACAATGTATGGGGTTGGTTCCTTGAAGCAAGAAAAGACACATGGAAGATACCACATAAATGGGAGATACCATTATGTCTTAGGGAGTAGAGGTGTGGGAAGCTTTTATCCTTGGCCAGATCAGTGGTAAGGACACAGACAACTTATCCTGAACCATGGCCAAGATTTGGCATCAATGACCACATGGAAACAGCACTGTTTTGAAAGTTTCACCTGGAAAAGACAGATCTATGTCTAACCAACCCCAAGCTCTTTTCATGTTGGTGGATGACTGATCTAGCCAAAATGAGCCCCTTTGGTCTTGGTCTGTCTCTTTACCCTTTGCCTCAGTCAATGAGACTACAGTTAAGAGGCCAAGCGAGATAGTCCCAGGGTCCAGATCATGGAACTGGACATCAATCTAGACTTGTGAAGGCAGCCAAGACATGCTCCTAAGCCAGGAGGCAAGGGCACAGCATACTTACCCCGCCACATGCCCAACACCCACTGCTTGGTAGGCTGGTCCCTATGCCATTTCCACTGTCAACTGAATCATGCAGTAACATCAGAAAAAGAGACTTTCTGATTTAGTCAATGACCATTGGTATAAGATCCCATAAAGCAGTGACCAAGGAAAGGACTGTAGGACTGAAAACTTGCCTTCACAAGCCAGCCCAGTGTAGTTAATAAGAGGGTGATTTCTCTCTCCTGCAAATCCTCCATGTCATCCCTACAAGGCAATGACATGCTAGTCACCACTACAGATGTGTATTCCATTTGGGGGGGGGGTAGGTGCTAAAATTTTAGTACTAGATCAGCGAGATTCCCTCCACCAGATTTTGAGCATCTAACTGCTTCAGCAAGATCAACACCAGATGCAAAGCCACACAGGTGTGCCAAGCAGCCATTAGCCTTGTATTACTCAGTAAAACTTTCAGCAAGATTTCAATCTGGCAATTTGGGGAAAGGTAAGGGTTTAAATTAGAATGGGGACATTGAGGGAGTTCAATTTGTTTCTTCTCATCTAAACCTGGAACTGTGATGTAAACAAGGAAAAGCCAAAGTTAAGTCCTTTTTTCCCATCCTCACTGTTAGTAACTGAAAGATTTTCCAAAAATTTTAATCTATGTAAATTTCAGTATCCTGGTTCATTCTAGACACTGTCACCAAGAATAAATGCTAGGGCAAGTAATATTCATCCTTATTTTGGCCCCCAAAGTAGAGCTTATGAACTCAGAGCCAGGTACTGGCTTGCTAATCGAGCTCAACTAGAATGCCTGACTGCACATCTCTGGGCTCAAACTGCTGAGTCATACTGAACCTATTAGGGTTCCAGGACTGGCTTCGAAGCAGCTGGACCCTATTTGGCAAGTGAGTGGCCTCTACTCCATTGGCCTAACTTCAATCAGCTGGAAGGCTTAAACCACATGAAGCAGAAGATTGCTGGCCTAAAAGCACAGCCTCACTGAAACACGAAGGCAGACTGCACACTGCCTTAATGGCAGGCTCACCAAAAAAGGCAAATAGAAAAGCTTCCAGATGATTTCCACTCGCAGTCTGAACTCCAAGCCACCTCTCTTGGCAAAAGTTTCAGAAACTGCTGTATGGAAGTGTAATGTGATGGGCCCCTCACCTTGGACACCAAGACCCCTGTGCCTGTGATTTATTGAGGTCTCTGACCAAAAATTGATTCCCCCTCCTTGGCTACTGACAACTCCCTAAACCCTACCAGAAAAGGGAGGGAGATGAAGGCAAATTAAACCACGTATACAGTTTTGCAAGGCTTTTAAACTCGGGTAAGCACACATAACAATGTTCTATATCATTATTTGGTATATTAAGCCATCTAAAAGCACTGGATTGCACCTTTTCTTTACTCATACAAACAAGTTACAAAGGTTTCAAATAACAGCTCATTCTTTAGGCTAAGGAAACACCACACAAGCACCAACTTCATATTATGATTCAAAGCTCACTATCCCCACACAAAGAATGCTATTCCTCATCTCTGAGAAACATGGGCAGGACAGAAGGAAATACACTGACTTTAGTGCTTGTTAAAACTCATTTCTAGTTTTCTTATTTTCAAGTTTTGGTACTGAAGTATACATTCAGCTACTAGTGTCACCGTCTCACCGTCTCCCCTTAGCTCTTAGTCTGACAAGTACTGGTTTATGAACATAGTGCTTTAGAGGGAAGAGATAGATGCTGAAGCCTAAATAATGTTGGAAAAAATGAAGTAACATCATGAAGTTGTTTTTTACCTCCTTGTCTTAGACTGTAAATGAAATCTGAAGTCTCCCCTATTTTCCTTTGGTTTTTTTTTTTTTTTTTAATTTTAAACTACACCCCATTCTACCACAGAACCAAAGCGGTCTTCTTTGGGGAAGAGGGACTTTCAGAGCAAAACAACTCACAACAGAATCGTGACCTGCTGCAGTCTCAGAGAAGACAAGAGGACATGGACTCTTCAGAGGCTTCCAAACAACTCCCACAACCACCCCTACCCCCCTAACAAGTCTAACATGTTTTTAAAGGTGCCTGCCAACAAAACAAAACTCAAGGAAACAGACTTTCCAAACATCAACACCTGCTTCCAGCTTAAAATGTCAGCGCAGCAGCACAGCTGAGTCCAGAAACCCCAGGCCCTTTATTTATCCCCAAATCCTGGCCAGCTACTGCTTGGCCTTTCCCCTTCACATTCACAGAATCACTTCTTGTGCAAAACAAGCAGTCTATGTAGAAAGAATGCCCTCGCCGTAGTCTAATAAAAAACTAGAAAAAAATGCTGGAGAGCCACATCTCTTCCCACTCCATTTATCTGCAGAACGAAGGCATCTCTGCGTGGACAGGGTAGGCAAGCCTGACATTGAGGGAGTCATTGTGTTGAACCAGGGATGTCTGCTGGTAATGGAGCACCAGCTCCTTCAGTGAGCTATACAGGTTGTAGGGTTCTGCAAAGCCGTATCCTCTAGCAGTGCTGTAGATCACACAGTGTTTCACTTCCCCATCCGCACTGCAATGACATACCATAGGAAAAATGTTAAGGCAGGTGACGACCATAAACAGAAGTCCAGAGCAAATGTTCTGAGAAGTGTCCTGTCATTCAGACATGACAATGCCTCTTACAGACTTGACTACAGGTACTTAACAAGTAAACATAAATGTATACCTAATTTCTTTTTTCTTTTTTTTCAAGATTACTCTGGCTATTCTGGGCTCCTTACATTTTCATATGAATTTTAGAAAGATCTTGTTTATTTCTGCAAATATCCAACCAAGTCTTTGGATTTTGATAAGACTGCTTGATGGTGAAGATCAATTCCAGAAATACTGCTATTTTAAACATTTTTAAGAAAAAAAACCCAGTATTTATTACATTTCAAGGAGCTCAGAAGACATGGAAGTAACAGAAAAACTGCCTCTTACATATTCTTAATACACAAATGTCTTTCACTTAGTAAAGTCTTTATTTTAGAAAATATTTTTATTTTATGTATATGAGTATACACATAATCTGTAAGTGCACCTGTGTTGTGCAATGCCTGCACAGAAGAGGGCATCATGGAACTGGAGTTATGGACAGTTGTTAGCTGCCATGTGGGTGCTGGGAACTGAACCCAGGTCCTCTGCAAGAACAGCCAGTGCTCTTAACCACTGAGCCATCTCTCCAGCTTGAAGCCTTTAATTTCTTTCAGTTATGTTTTTTAGATTTCACTATACAATTCAGATTTATTTTATTCCTAGTTATTTCATCATTTTTGTAAATGACATGACATTTCATTCTTTGATTATTCATAGATGTACACAGAAATACATCTTTCTGTAAATTAGACATGGTGGCATACATCTGTAATCCTGGCACTTGGAAGATAGGAAGATCAAAAACTCAAGATCATGCCGGGCATGGTGGTACATGCCTTTAATCCCAGCACTTGGGAGGCAGAGGCAGGTGGATCTCTGTGAGTTTAAGGCCAGCCTGGTCTACATAGTGAGTTCCGGGACAGCTGGGGCTACAGGGAGACCCTATCTAAAAAATAATAAAAAAAGACCAACAAAAGAAAAAAAAAAAAAAAAAAACCAAAACTCAAGATCATAATGAGCTGCACAGCAAGTTCGAGACCAGCCTAGATGACATGACACTCTTGTGTCATATAACCTGCAACCTTTATGAAGCCATCTCTAATAGTTTTCTTCTCCCTTTCCAATACTGATAGCTTTAACAGTGGACATCCTGCTCTTCATCATCTTAGAGGAAGACAGTCTTCCATTATCAATAGAAGCTCTCTCCTATTCCTGCTTTATTTCATTCCTTTTTATTCCAGACATGGAAAGTATTAGATTTTGCAAATACTTTTTGTGGATCTAATGAGCATATTGTGTGGATTATTCTTAGCCCTTTTTGTATTATTATTACAGTAATTAATTTTTCTATTTTTTTTTTTAATTTTATGTGTATGCGTGTATTGCCTGAATGTAGGTAAGTAAGTGTACCCGTGTCCTGCAATGCCTGCAGAGGTCAGAAGAGGCTGTCGGATCCCCTGGGACTGGAGTTACGGACAACTGTTAGCTGCCGTGTGGGTGCTGGGATTCAAACCCGTGTCTTCTGCAAAAACAACCAGTGTTGTTAACCACTGAGCCATCTCTCCAGCCCTTATTTTTTCTATTTTAAATGACACTACATTCTGAGATGAAGCCTATGTAGTGATGGTACATGACTTTAACACTTTCCGTATATGGCTGAGGCTATCTTCCTAGTTGAAACCTAGTTAAAGGTGTTTATATTTGTAGGACTCTACAAAGTCACTGAGCAGTGCTGTAGATCAGAGCCTTTTTGTGATATCCTGTATCTGCTTCTGATGTCAAGTAATACCTCATAAAATTAGACTCAAATTTCTGGAGCAATTTATGTAAAAGATTAGTATTAATTTTTTTTTAACATGGTAAAATTCACCAGTAAGGCTATTTGGGTCTGGGCTTTTCTCTCTGGGTAGATTTTAAGTAGCAATTCACTTTCTTGGTCTGTTTTTTGTGTTTTGTGTGTGTTATGTGTGTGCAAGCACATGCCATGGTGCGTGTGTAGAAGTCAGAACACAACTCTTGACAATCAGTTATTTCCTCACACCTGTGCAATCCACAAAATAAAGTACATCAGGTGTGTACACTCCCACTGAGCCATCTTGCCAGTCCAACAATTCTATTTCTTGTTATAGCTCTAATCAGATTCTGTACTTCTTGATACATTTTGGATTGGTTTTTTGTTTGTCTGATTGTTTTTTGTTGTTGTTGTTGTTTTTCGGTCTTTGTGAGACAGGGTCTCCCTGTAGCCCCAGCTGACCTGGAACTCGCTATGTAGACCAGGCTGGCCTTGAACTCACAGAGATCCACCTGCCTCTGCCTCCCAAGTGCTGGGATTAAAGGCATGCACCACCACACCCAGCCCTGGATTGTTTTTATAGTCCCAGAATTTGCCTAACAATAAATATGTTATTTAAACTGTTGACATATAATGCTTACAGTATTCATTTATAGTATCCCATTATCTCCTTTTAAAAATTTTTTTTTAATTTTATTTACTATTTTTATTTTATGTGTATGCGTGTATTGCCTGCATGTAAGTGCACCCATGTTGTGCAATGCCCGCGGAGGACAGAAGAGGCTGTTGGATCCCCTGGGACTGGAGTTATGGACAGTTGTTAGCTGCCATGTGGGTGCTGGGATGCAAACCCAGGTCTTCTGCAAGAACAACCAGTGTTCTTAACCACTGAGCCATCTCTCCAGCCCCTCCTTTTCTTAATTTTTATTTTATGTGTATGAGTGTATTGCCTACATGTGTGTAAGTGCACCTGTATCATGCAGTGCCAGCAGAGGTCAGAAGACAGCATCGAATCATCTGGAACTAGAGCTACAGACGTCTGCTAGCTGCCATATGGGTGCTGGGAATCGAACCTGGGTCCTCTGCAAGAGCAGTCAGTGCTCTTAACTGCTGAGCATCTCTCCAGCCCCAGTAGTTCTACTTTTAGATGACAGAAATCCAATATACTTTTCAATTTCTCCCTTATTTTCTTCCCATGGACACCATTATCTTTTAAGGTCCAGTTCCTTTTCCACAAACCTCTCAACTCTCTTTCCCCACCAGAATTAACATTTTCATACATGCACCTACTTGACTGTGATTCTATCTATCTTGGATATTGTATGAGATGGACAAGCCTAGGAGCTGGGCATGGTAGCTCAAATCTATAATCCAGCTCTCTATCAGTTCCTTTCACTTATCTTCTCCACCTTGCCCTCCTTTAAAAAAATTGTTTTTTAGTATACAAAACAATGGATTTCATCATGGCTTCAATAAAATTTTTTTTTAATTTTTTAAAATTGGGACTGGAAGGGGCTGGAGAGAGAGCTCAGCAGTTAAGACTACAGGGTGCACTTGCGGAGGATCCAGGACTGATTCCCAGCACCCACATGGCAGCTAACAACCATCTCTAACTCCGATTCCAGGGAATCTGACACCCTCTTCTGACCTCCACAGACATGTTATGACATAGGTGCACTTATATGCATGTATGCAATACATTCATACACATAAAATAAAAATAATAAAATAAGCCAGGCATGGTGGCGTGCACCTTTAATCCCAGCACTTGGGAGGCAGAGGCAGGTGGATCTCTGTGAGTTCAAGGCCAGCCTGGTCTACATAGTGAGTTCCAGGACAGCTGGGGCTACAGAGAGACCCTGTCTCAAAAAAGACAAATAATAATAATAATAATAAAATATTAAAATATTGGCTGGAGAGATGGCTCAGCAGTTGAAGAGTACTGGCTGCTCTTGCAGAAGACCCAAGTTCAGTTCCCAGGACCCACATGGCAGCTAACAACTGTCCATAACTGCAGTTCCAGGGGATCCAACACCCTCTTCTGGCCTCCATGGACATTGCACACATGTGGTGCACTTATATACATGCAGGCAAAACACTCATTCACATAAATAAGTTTTACAAATTATATTTACTTATTTATGGGGGCACACGGGCCACACACAGCATGCATGTGGAGGGGGTATAAGACAACTTGCAGGAGTCCGTTCTCCCACCGTGGGTCTCAAACTCAAGTCATCAGGCTTGGTCACAAGTATCTTTATTTAGTGAGCCATATCAATGTACTTGTATGACTTTTCATACATATGTATTATTGTACCTTGTTCACATTCCCCTGATTATCCTCTCCACCACCAGCCCTGTCTTTTATCCCAAGTAGTCTCTCTCCTGCTTTTATTTTACATATATGTGTGTGTGTGTTTATATTTAAATCTATATTCCACATATAAGAGAAAACATCAATGGTTGTCTGAGGCTACACCTTGCCCTCTGAGAGTGGTCACTTTGTCATCTCTGCTTTCTATCCTGTCCTTCACTGGCATCATTATCATAATATTCATAGGTAACATTTACTCAGCAAAACCCCCAAGTAATGTACCCAAGGTCGTGAAGTAGGTTAGCAGCAGAGCCAAGAGCTATACCCAGCATACCCTAAAACCACTGTACAAATATTAAAGGTCTAAGTAAGCCATGGGTCCTTATTACTATACTTTTAACTAATTTTATCTGGATTTTATGAGGGGTTCATCTTCCATTAATCAATGCAGAAAATTTCAAAAGCTCATATCCCCAGAGAAGACTTACACGACAGAGCAAGCGTAACACCCTTTCTTGCTGCTCTCACGAATTAAGAATGCACCATCTGGTTTTCCATAAAGCAAGTCCTCTGCTTGTACTCGATTGACATCCTCAACAAACCAGGTTTTCTCATCATAATGAGGCAGGTTCTCATCTTCCTCATTGATAAAGTAAGTTCTGAAGATTAAATATTTAAAGTATTATTTTACCGAACAGTTTACATATATATATGTTAATAAAAATGCTATTCTGCATCTATATAAAATAAAGCAAAATTCCAATTAGTTGGGTGTTTGTTTTTAAACAATTTCATTACTTATTATGGGTGTAGACAGTACAGAATTCACAGTTCTCATTCAGCTAGAGCATGAGCATCTGAATAGCAGGGCAGGTTTCTACACTCAACTGACGGTAATTTACTTTTCAGGCAATTCAACCGAAAGGTGCAAAGTTCTTGACTCAGTATTGTCTAGGGATGATGAGAACCAACTCCGGGTATGCACAGGAGAGCAGAGTCTTATACTGAGAACAAAGTCCCCTGACCGAACAACTTACTCATCAGCATCCTCATTCCTGATCCCCAGCCAGGCATTCAGGCGCTTCTGTCTCACTCCTTTGTGATTGAGCCATCTGCCAGGAGGGAAGACACTGTCAGAATCTGCTTGGACAAAGTAGGTATGCCCAAACCAGCCAAGCTATGAGAGTCCAACAACCTCTGATTTTCCCTAATCTCAGGAAGGGTGGCCAAAGGTTTTCCTACATTTCCCTTTTCCTTCAACTAATACCATGATCAATTTTTTTTTCAAAAAGGAAGAAATATAGAAAGCTACTTGAAATTAGGCCTTTCTCTGGTTCTTTTACTTTTCTTTTCTCGAAGCACACACATACTTGCAACTCAAACACAGTGGTCAGTATTCTAAAAGAGAAATTTGACAATGGAATGGGAAACACTTTCATTGGAGCTGGTGTGATACCTTTAATCCTAGCACTCAGGAGGCAAAGGCAGGTGGATCTCTGTGAGACTGAGGCCAGCTAATGGCTAAATTCCCAATGTGTAAAACAGAGCAAGCACAATCCTACCAATTTACAGTGAAGATTTGCTGGTGGGATGCTTTTAGCAAAGTCTTCACAACTCCAGGATCATCTTATATGTATCACTAACCCCAAATACATCACATAACCTGGCATCAAACCTAATCTTCAAAGATGTAAAAGGCAGATTTTGCAGCCTTTCTGAGGAAGACTTGCCCTTCAGTTAACCTGGATTTCAGTTTTGTCAGTTAGCAAAGCTGGAAAAGAGACAATATATAATTTAGTAATAACTATCCTACCCCATCCCAGTACACCATCACATCTAAGTAGCCTTAATACCAAAGTTTTCTTTCCTTAAAGAAAATGAGCTTCTCTTTATTAAGAGAGAGTCTCTTTCACTGAACCTGAAGTGCCCATTTCAGTTAGACTGACTGTTCAACAAATGCCCAGGATCTACCTGTCTCCGCCTCCCCAGGACTGTGGTTACTGTGGAACCTGTGGCTACACCCAGCTTTTACATGGGCGCTGGGGATCCAAACTTAAGCCTTCACATTGCACAGCAAGCACTCTACCCCACCGGGCCATCTCCTTAGCCCTGCATTTTCTTTTAACCTCTAACTTTTTTAAAGTGAGCCTCCTCTTCCAGAAGGGAAGAGACCTCGGAAAGGCCAAGGAAAAAAATGTGTTTTGTTCAGAAGCTGCCTACCTTCTCACATAAGTACTTTCCAGTCTCCCTAAAGTCCACCTGAAAGATTACACCATTTTCAGAGTCCTTGAACATCTACTAAGAATGCCAAGAACTGCCTAGCTTTAAAAAATTTATTTATTTTTATTTTATGTGTTATGAGTGTTTGCCTGCATGTATGTAAGTACACCATATGTACAATACCTGTGGAGATGAGGAGACCGGGGTCAGATCCCCCTGGAACTGGAGTTATAGATGACTCTTAGCCATGTGGGTGATCTATCAAGAGCACCTGGGTCCTCTGCACAAGCAGACAGTACTTTTAACTGCTGAGCCATCTCTGCAGCCCCAGAACTGTCTAGCTTTCAAAAATTGTTCTTTAAAAAAACTCCAATAACTTTAGTTAATATGTCAATTTATATTCAATTTATTATTGTTGAATGACATTCTGATCATATGTCAAGGCAGTAAATTCTTTAAGAAAGGTATAATATCCAATTCTGATTCTGTTACTGTGTGACCTTAAACCAGTTTCTCTACTCCTGTCACCACTTCTAAAAAATATGGCTACACTGAAATTATCTTAAGAAAAAAAAAATGGTGATGTTAGCATATCCTTTCCTTGCCCCTGCCTTAGCAAGTGGGGGTAGAGTATATATTGCATTCATTTTAAAGCTCTAATTGACTGTATAATTAAATACATTAAGAGGAAAAGTGGATCCAGGTGTCGTGGTGCATGCCTTTGGTCCTAGCATTGGGGAGGCCAAGGCAGATGATTGATCTCTATGAGTTTGAGGCCAGTCTGGTCTACATTATGAGTTCCAAGCCAGTTGGAGCTACAGGGAGACCCTGTCTCAAAAAACAAAACAAAACAAGAATAGTGGAATGCTTTAAGTCTCAGACTGAAGGAGATGATGAAGCTGGAAAGTCCCCAAGAGGGGGAACCAGCTTAAAGTCAAAGTAGTAGTCCTGGAAAAAAGTGCAGGCTTCCCCTAGAAGATGGTTAAAATATAAAATGGGGTGACAAAAAAGGATGGCACACAGGACACCCTGAATGGACTACAAGAAATTTTGGGGTTTTTTTTTTTGGTCTTTTTGAGACAGGGTCTCTCTGTAGTCCCAGATGTCCTGGAACTCACTACGTAGACCAAGCTGGCCTTCGACTCACAAAGTTCCTCCTGCCTCTGCTTCCTCAGTGTTGGGATTAAAGGTATGTGCCACCACACCCAGTGACAAGAAGAAATTTTAAGATATATAGTCTGTTGCTGGTCACCTAGAAGTTTATTTTGAGGGAGCTTTTTAATTTTCTGGAATAGCAGATGGCAAAAACGCATCTAATTACTTTGTATGCTAACTTTAAAAAATTTAAACTGATGGCTGGAGATCTGGATCACTGGTGGTTCTTGCAGAAGACCTGGGTTCAAATCCCAGCACCACATGGCAGCTAACAACTGCTGGTAACTCCAGTTCCAGGGGACCTGACAGCCTCTTCTGTCCTCCACGGGCATTGCAAGACATGGGTGCACTTACCTACATGCAGGCAATACATACATACACATAAAATAAAAATAATAGGGGCTGGAGAGATGGCTCAGCGGTTAAGAACACTGGTTGTTCTTGCAGAAGACCCGGGTTCGAATCCCAGCACCCACATCGCAGCTAACAACTGTCTGTAACTCCAGTCCCAGGGGATCCGACAGCCTCTTCTGACCTCCGCAGGCACTGCATGACATGGGTGCACTTACCTGCATGCAAGTAATACACACATACACATAAAAGAAAAATAATAAAAAAATTTTTTAAAAGCTTAAAACAAGTCGGGCGTGGTGGTGCATGCCTTTAATCCCAGCACTTGGGAATCAGAGGCAGGTGGATCTCTGTACATTCAAAGCCAGCCTGGTCTACATAGTGAGTTCCAGGCCAGCTGGGGCTATAGGGAAACCCTATCTCAAAAAGACAAAAAAAAAAAAAAAAAAAAAAAAAAGAAAGTTTAAAACCAATGCTTAAGAACCAAAGAAGTACGTAATGAGATCATTTAGAGGGAGGGACAAAGGATCTTGTGCTCCTGTAGTTTCTTGACATTACTTCAGGATGACATTCTGATTCAGCTCTGTGTGTGTGTGTGTGTATGTGTGTGTGTGTGTGTGCATGTGTGTGCCCACACGTGTAATGCACGCCTGTCTGATGGGAAGAGCCTCCCATATAAGTGGTAGATGACAGTGCAGTAGCAAACATAGCTGCCTTCCAAGACAAAGAAGAATGTACCATTTTTTGTGGACAATTTTATATATTCTCTAAATAAGAGAAAATGATAAAATCCATACCCACTCCCCCCTCCAACACCTCCCATATCTTCCCACCACTTTTTTCTGACAACTTCCTGTACTCTCTTTTTTTATATACATATAAAAATATGTATGTTTTTATATAAATATACCTTATATACATGTATGAAATTCTCAGTAATTTTTTAAAGTTAAAAAAATAAGAGTAGCCAGGCATGGTGGTGCACGCCTTTAATCCCAGCACTTGGGAGGCAGAGGCAGGCAGATCTCTGTGAGTTCAAGGCCAGCCTGGTCTACATAGTGAGTTCCAGGCCAGCTGGGGCTACAGGGAGACCCTGTCTCAAAAAGACCAAAAAAAAAAAAAGTAAAATGAGATAATACATTATAAAATGACAAAAGGAAAATTACTTATAAACAGTTATCAGGACTATATTTTAATAAATATTTTATTCATTACTTTTATTTCATGTGTATGTGTGCATTGCCTGCATATATATAAGTGCACCCCTGTTGTGCAATGCCCTCAGAAGTTAGAAGAGGGCACTGGATCCCTTGGAACCGGAGTTAAAGAGGGTTGTTAGCCACCATGTGGGTGCTGGGAACCAAACCTGGGTCCTATGCAAGAGCAGCCAGTGCTCTTATCCACTGAGCCATCTCTCCAGGCCCCTATTTTTTTTAATTTATTTTTTAGTGTATGAGTATTTTGCCTGCATGTATATAAGTGCACCCATATGGTGTAATGCATACAAAGACCAGAAGAAGGCGTCAGATTCCCCTGGAACTGGATTTATGGATGGTTGTTAGCTGCATCTGGGTGCTGGGAACTAAATCCGGGTCCTCTGAAAGAGTAATCAGTGTTCTTAGCCATTGAGCCATCTCTTCAGCCTCCAGAAATATACTAAAAAGAGATTGCCTACTTTGAGTCACCCAGACTTTTATCACTGGTAGGAATGTAAAATGATGCAGTCACTAAAATAGTAGAGGCAGGTACTTAAACAGTTAAATACAGAATTACCACAGAATTCAGCAATTCCACTCTTCTCATGTATCCAAGAGAGTGAAACACATGTACCATAGAAAAATGTACACATGAATGTTCACAGAGACATCACTGGAAATATAAAAACAACCCAACAATTTTTGAGAAACAAAATATGATCTATTCAAACAATGAAAACTATTTGTCATAAAAAGAAACAGCTGGGGCTACAAGGAAACCCTGTTTCAAAAAGACAAAAAAAAGAAAAACAAACAAAAAAACAGGCCTGAAGAGGTGACCCAGGTTCAGTTCCCAACACCACAAGGTAGCTAACAACTGTCCATCTGGAACTCCAGTTCCAGGGAATCCAATGCCCTTTTCTGGCCTCTGCAGGCACTGCATGTTTGGGTGCACTTACATGCAGGCAAAACACTCATACATATAAATAAAAATTAAGGGCTGGAGAGGTGGCTCAGCAGTTAAGAACACTGACTGTTCTTACAGAAGTCCCGGGTTCAGATCCCAGCACCCACATGGCAACTAACAACTGTCCGTAACTCCAGTTCCAGAGGATCTGACAGCCTCTTCTGTCTTCCGTGGTCATTGCATGACATGGGTGCACTTACCTATAGGAAGGCAATACATGCAT